TGTGTTTTGTATTTTTGCATAAATAATATTTTAATATTTTATAATAAAAAATAATATATATTTTAAATAATAGCAAAGTTAACAAATTTATAGCTCTCTTTGCTTTATTTACTGAGTCGATTTGGACTTGGTCATATGCTTTCCAAGGATGTATTTATTTTTTATTACTTTCTCTTTAATTGCAATCAATCGTCCACTTTATTGCAATTCAATCAAACCATGCATTTATAAAGAACAAAATCAAACATCCTAATCTCTCTCTCTCTCTCTCTACATATATATATATATATATATATGTAAATAGACAATTAGGGTGAGCACAAAATTTCAACTTGATTGGACTGCATTGTGCTTAAAGAACAATGGACCCCTCCAAAAAAGCAATGTCATTTCCAGCTTTTCTTGGAGAAATTAATTGTAAAAATTAAAGGAACCAACAAAAGGAGACCGACCCCAGAATAATATATATCAAGAATAGAATAACAAAGGGCAAATTATAGAAAGTAAAGAAAATATATATCGGAAAAGAAAAGAAGAGAAAAGAAAAACACATGAGTGTGCTAATGGGTTCTTGTCAAGAAAATCTTCATTGGTTCTATCAGTCATTTGTTCTCTCGGATTTGTAGGGCTCCCATTATAAAATACTACAAATTTAAAACTAAATAAATATTTAAAAAAAAAAACAAAAAACAGAAGAGAGAGAAAGAGAGAGAGAGAGAGTCTTTTTTGTGCCCGTAAAGTCTTTGGAAAGATTCATTATGTTTCAACTTTTGTTTAGTTTGACCATAGAGGTGATCAAGAATATATGTATGTATGTATATATATATATATTTGGAGATTATTCGAATTGGGAATTAAGTTATATATAAATGAAGGTCACAGCAGGTGTTGATACCTATGGCAAAATGGGTATAAAGGGATCGAAGAGTTGTGAAAGTTTTACTATATTGAGTTATTATGGGATATCATATATATGGGGGAATGATTGGGGAAATCTAATTTTATATTATACTATTATATATATATGATGCCACTCATCATGATTCTTGGGCATATATATTTGTGGTGTTTGCACATATATATATATATATATATATGTTTGGAATGAACACACACACACACCTTTATTCCAAGTGTTAGATATGTCCTAAGGACTTCTTAGATTTGGGAATATTTATTGTGTTGCATCTGTTACTACAATTAGGTTATTAAAAGAATTAGGGTTTTCTAAAATTCAATTTTTTATTTATTTCTTCAAATTCAATACAAGATTTAAAGTTTAATCATGTGTTGTGTGTGTGTGTTATTTTTTAAAAAATTAGATTGGTAGCATAGAATTGGGAAAAAAATATTTCTTGTTGAAGAAAATCAAATTTACGGTGAAAATTTAGATGCTAACTAAGATTAATCAACAAGATATTGGTATATGGTTAATTCTAATGATTAGCATATGGTGGTAATAGTACCATCAGCTGCATAGATTAGCTCTAATTAACACAAAATTGTTTATTATAATTTAAACATATGATACTAGTTCACACAAGACATAATGTAATTGATCTTAGTATAATATAATATATATATATATATATATATATCAACACAATGGTGCTTATTAACTCTTATCAACAACCTAACCATTTCCTAACATGGATATTTGTAAAGAAAAAATAAAAATACATTGAGTAATGAACACACAACATTGCCTTTCAATATTCAAATTGAATAATTTTATTTTTGGAAATTGTCATATTGGGGTTTCAAACCCAAAATTTGAAAATAAAAATAATAATAATAAGTCCAAATCAAGTTTTGAAGTTAAAAGAGTGAAGTTGTATTAATTTAAAAATAATGAAAATTAGATTTTACTCTTCTTATACAAAGGGATTAAATAATTTTTTCCTTTCAAAAATATTGTGACATGTCCTTTATGCTTTTCAAAGATCATATGCAATATAGATAGTATGACATAAATTCACCGTATACAACCTACAGAAATTTGTCCCAGTCGCAAATTTTAATATGTGATAATTAAAAGTCACATAAAGTAATCTCGTGACAAGTTTATGTCACAATTTTTTGCTTTGACTATTCCGTAAGTAGTATTTGCAGAAAAAGTTACAAATAACTTTCCGTGACTATTTAAAGTAACGACTTATGTAACGAAAATGTCCGAGATATTTCTATTTCGTATTTTTTACTATTTCGTCACAAAAATTGTCACGGATTTTTTTTATGACTATTTTAAGTTGCAGAAAAAATAACCAAAATACTTGCAAAATTTTAAATTATTACAGATATTGTCATGGTATAATTTATGTGACTTTAAAATCAAATGTCACAACATAAGTAATGAAAACAACTATAAATTTTTCTTATTATTATTCGCAGTTATTTAAAGTAATAACAAAATAATAAATCAATATTTTTATTTTTTTTTACTTGTATTGTAATTAAATAATTTTTTTTTAAATATTCTTCACTATTTAAAATCATGACATAAGTATTGAAATATTAGCAAAATCTTATTTATAAATTTATTTTTATAAAAAATTCTACTATTTAGGGTTACAGTATAAATAATTTTATTTAATTAATATATATTTATTTAAATTATTGCAAATATTAACATAAACTAATTTTTAATTATTTATAGTTACCATATTGATAATGTTTTTAAATATATTGTTAATTTAGAAAATTTATATGATAGATTTTTTTAAAAAAATGATTGAGTCTTAAAAAAATAAAAATAAATAATTTATTGACAATAGATGAAATTCAAAAACTCTTGATATTAAAAAAAAATACTATATGTTAAATAAATTTGATAATTTTTTATATTAATAGACAAACTTCCATTTTTTTGTTAAAAATTCATAGTGCTATATTAAATAAATATGTATATATTGTTAAAAGATAAATTTATACAAATATTTATATAATTAAAATATAATAACAAATGAAAATTAATACTTTAGAGTAGATAGTTAAGTTGGTATGACAAGTGGTATAAGTCTTTAATAACTTTCGTTACGGAATGGTTCTGTATATTTTTTTTCGTGTAACTTTTTTTACCGTAATTATAACATAATCTTCTGGTAGTGAAAAATCAACATTTCACGTGAAATTAGGAAAAATTTTAAAAACACTAGTAGCCATGGATCCAATTTGGGTTAAGAGTATTAATAATTGCATTTTGTATATAAAATGTCAACAAAATATAATAATAAAAAAATTTTAAAAAATAACGAGATTAATTAACTAAAATTTTAAATTCAAGTTCAATACGCAATGGTTCAGGCCTTGGCCCAAAGCCTGCTTTATATATGGATGTATAAATTTATTATTATTATTTTAATAAATATATTTTTTATATTATTTACAAAAAAATATTTCAATAATTTTAAAATAATGTATTGTCTTGAATGATAGATTTTTTTTTTAAATGAATAAAATATATAATATAGTATATATATATTACATTTTTTATAATATTAATTGAGAATCATATAAGTAAAAAACATATATTGGGTGAACATACTCATAATTTTATTTTTTATATTGGATTTACCTTTTCTTTTTCATTGTTGTCAATACACAATTAGCTACTATTGGAGAATTTGTGCATCTTTTTTGTGTATATATATATATATTTATATTTAATTCTCTTTCCCACCAAATATAAAAGAATAAATTCATATTGATATATACTCTATTATTATTTCTTTCAATTTCAATACTGTACCAAACGCTCATTAGAATTTGGCCAATTTTTTCATTGACTTACTACATTGAATTTCGTAGACTTGATAAGATTGTGGAACATAAATTTATATAAATTTTCATAGATTATAACATTGAAACTATTGATGCAAATATATATATATATAAAATAATGTAGTAATTTAAGATTTATAAGAAAAATAACTTATTATTGAACTTCTTGAAAGTTAATAGTTAAATATATATATATATATATATGTATGGAGTGAACACTCTAACTTACATATCTCTTATGATATATATTAGTTTGTAATATATAGGCTTGTTATACTCATTTATCAATTTTGTTACTCCTTCCATATAACTACGTATCCGTTTGCTTTTTGTACGGAATTTAAAAATATTAGTATTATATTGGGATGTAATATGAATAAAATAGAAATGATTAAAATAATCTTATTAGTATTGTGTGATATAAATGTAATAGCAATTGTGTAATATATCATAAGTTGTAAGGGTATTTGTAACGTTAGGTAAAAAAATAGATATTTTATTATGAGACAGATAGAGTATATACTGTGCGTATTTTTTCAAAATATATATTATATATAATTATTATTTTTATATTATCTATACAATTTTCTATATTTTACATAAATATATATATATATATATCTTTTTAAAATTATTTCATAAAACAAACACACCTATTTCTAATTTTTACATTATTCAATATATAAATGATTCATTAGTACTCTAAATAGTACCTGCCCTGAACTTAAAATCTTTATAATATTTTGGTGCCCATATTGTTTCAGACCAAGCCCAACTATGCCATTGTTACTCCATCACTGATTATCATTAAATCTAAATATTTATATATATAAATATCAACTACATATATAATATATAATCCACCAAAATCCATACGTGCAACATTACAAAGGCAAAGGAAAAAAAAAAAAAAGTAAGTAAAGAAAACAAAAGTTAGCAGATTACCAAGACGGCAGTAGTCAAGAAGAGGTGGTTATTGAAAAGTGATGCCTGAAACTAATGAATAAATTTTTATTTATTTATTTATTTGATTTAACATTCTCAGAGAGTAATATATATGTATGTATATATATGCTATGGGTAAGAAAGGGAAGCAGTAGCTGTTAAGAGACAAATGCACACGTTAAAAGCTTACACTAAAATTCCTTTTTCCTTCTCCCAAAGAATACAGGAAAAAGGAAATTGAGTGTTATAAAACATCATCCCCTAAAACTGTTTCCTTTTCCTTTATTACATTTACATTTACATTTTATTTAAATTAATCAATTTTCAATTTTTTCTTTTATTTATTTCTCATCTCCATCTCCTCCCCGACCACAAAAGAATTACAATTTACAGCCACCCCACCCCACCCCCAACAAATACCTATTCAAGAGTCACTTTCTTACATAAACTTCACATAAAGGAAACAACCAAATCTCCATCACAAATCCCCTCAAGAAATTAAAAAACTCCTCTCTTCTCCATATCCAAAAACCCCATCTCAGAAAATTGCTGATTCAGCTCACATTTTCGAAGATCGATTTATTCTCAGAAGAAATTGGTTAGTAATTTAAGGGATTGGTTTTGAAAGATTTGAGCTTGCAGTAGCCCTCCATTAATGGAGCTCTTCCCTGCTCAGCCAGACCTCTCCCTGCAAATCAGCCCCCCCAACAGACGAACCCCTAATTCCCAAGATGAAATGGATTTAGGGTTTCTCAGAAGAGCCATCGAATCTTCTAGAAACGCCAAGCCAGATCATATCCCCAATTCCAGTCCCTTACCCCTTTCGAACCCCTTCAAAATCCCAATCTCCGACGCCGCCGCCGCCGGCGGGGGACACTTCCACCGGTTTCTTAACGGCGGTAGGTTTCTGCAATCGCTGCCGCAGCAGAGCGGCGCCGGCGGTGAAGAGGTTTGTTTGTTGAAACCTATTCGAGGGGTTCCGGTGTACCAAAACCCTCCTCCGTTCGCATTTTCCGCGGCGGCGGCGACGCATCAGATGGAGAGTCCTGCGGCGGCGATTGATCAGCAGATTAAGATTAGGAATAATTCGTTGGGTCTGTACGGACAGTCGATGATGCGATCAAGGTACCTGCCGAGGTTCGCCGCCGCTGCCGCCGCCGCGGCGACGAAGCGGAGCATGAGAGCGCCGCGGATGCGGTGGACGACGTCCCTCCACGCGCGTTTCGTTCGCGCCGTCGAGCTCTTGGGCGGCCATGAGAGTACGTACGCCTCCTCTTTAGTTTCTCTGCAATTTCTCTCTCTCTCTCTCTCTTTATATATATATATATATATGTGTGTATGTATGTATGCACAATTAAGTTTCTTCGATCGACTGCAATTTTAGGAGCAACTCCAAAATCGGTTTTGGAGCTTATGGATGTGAAAGATCTTACCTTGGCTCATGTTAAATCTCATTTACAGGTAACTTTTAAGGATAATATTTTTTTTATTATTCTTTTTAATATTAGCTTGGAAGCCATTTTTGTTGGCTTCAGCCACAGATTCTTCTTCTACTTAAGCAAGAAATTTTATTTTATTTTATTTTCCAAATGAGTTCAAAGATGCAATGTTGATTCAATTAGTAAAATGAATGAGAGTGGACTAACATTTCAACAGAAGAAAAATTGGGAATTAGGAGTCAATTATGACAGCAATTTCAAACTCCAATGCTTTTTGTTTGTCTCCTCCTTGCAGAGAGAGAAAGAAGGAGAGAGAAAGAGAGACTTCTCACAGACCCTTGTTTTTCCATTTAGATCTGCAAACCCATCAAACCTTCTAGAGAGAGAGGGAGAGAGGGTTTCAATCTCATTTCATCACTATTACTAAAACTAATAGTAATAAAGAAAAATCTGAGAATAAGACAAAGAAGAAAAGATTAAAAATATATAGTCGAATGATGACATCTTTTGTTATGTAAGTTTTCCAAACAATGGTATATCTAATATCCCTCATTTTCCTCAGGGTTTTGGGTAGAAAGAAGATAAAGTACAAAACACTATGATGACACAATGATATACACAAACACACTGTCCTTTGGGGTTTACAAAACCCATCTTTGGCAAACCATGGTTAACCTCGAGAAAGTAGACATGCACATTTCTTAAAAAATTAAATCCATCTAATATTTATATATTTATATATATATATATGTGTGTGTATTAAATTTTGCTCATCATTAATTCTTTTCATATTGCATTTAAAATTCATTGCAAGAAAAATGCTACCTTTGGCAGCTAGTATTTTTTTTTTTTTTTTTCGAACCCTATTTATTAGTGCTTGTCTGTTATTTATTTATTTACATATGTTAGTTAAACAAGTGAAATAATGGCATCAAATTTTGGCAGATGTATCGAACAGTGAAATCAACTGATAGAGCAGCAGCAAATTCAGGTCAGTATGCAGCATACATATTATATTCTCATTAATTACTACTTGAGGAATTCTTGCAACATACTATATGATTAAATTCAATCAAGGGTTTTATTTTTTTTATTGAACAATTAAATTTTCATGGATTTTTAGGACAATCTAATAGGTCGACAGAGGACACATCGGACGATATCCTATTCGACGTTCAGAAGTCGGAGGTTTCGGGGCAAGAAGGTGAACAAATTAATATGGATCATCAAGAAAAGGGACTCCATGGCCTTTGGAGCAACCCCTCTTCAAGGTAATCTATGCATTATTGCATTAAATGGATGATTATATATAATGTTAGAATTCATTTTTTGATATATTGATAATGTTAAAACATAGTCTTCATAAGTGCATTATTAATTTTTATAGAGAAATTCTTGTCTTGATTGGGATTTTAGTGTTCCTTTCAAGTTGTGTATATAGATTTTGAAAAGGGGTTTTGGTTCTAAATGGAAATAAAATAAGAGTTGAGGCCAAAGATAGTTCCAAGAATAATCATAACAACAAAACAATAATAGGCAGAAGTGATGAACCCTCCAAATTGTGATTTTTTTATTTCTTGAATCCTAAATTATAGGCATAAATAATCAATCAATCCCCCTTTTTATTTTATTTTAGCTTTTTGGGTGTCTTCAAATGGGACCCAATCAAGAAAAATTTCACTTCACCTTCCCCAGGAAGCTAACTATAAAACTTGTCCTTGGGACTTTGTAATGAACCAGAATTTTGTAAGAATATAAGAGTAACATTGATATTTTTTTAAAAAAAAATTGTATATATATGTGTGACATAATTTAAATAGTTGGGGTGTCACATGGGTGACTTTCACTTTTGCATGCATAAAGAAGGTAAAGTGAAAAGATTGCTTTCTTTCTGAACCCTTTTTAATTTTTTAATTTTTATTTTTTAAATTTATTTATTTATTTAATTTAATTTTCATCTGCTGCTGTATGGCTTCCACTGACTGCAAAAATATTCTTTCAAACTTGTAGCAGAGAAGCTTGGTTGCATTTGCATGGAAGACCAACCAACACAAACTCTACTCAGGTTCACTTTTAAATTACCAAATTGCCCCTCTCTCTATTATTTTTAAAGTGATCTCACCTCTCATGAGAACCTTTTTTTCAAAAAAAAAAATATTTATTTTCTTAAAGAAGGAAAGATAATAAAAAGTTTTAAGGGAATTATTTAAAGGCCGTGCCACAAAATGGAATTTTTCCTTATTCTTTTTAGGCCCCTTTAGTGACTTTGATTTTATATATATATATATAGCATTCACATACGTGCACACATACGCATGTGTGTATATATATATATATACCTCGTACTTGTCCACCATTCTTGACTCTTGTAATTTTTAAACAAGAATTGATACTTAGGTTTTTCTTGTATAGATGCAATGCTATACATACAAACTTACTCTCTCTCTCTCTGTGTGTTTCTCTCTCTAGAAGGAGATGGAGATGGAGTGCATATTGGTATCAGATGTGAGCTCATCAAGGTCAAGCATATCAGATCAGAGCAGCCCACAGAGACCTAATTTGGAGATCACACTTGGAAGATGAAATATCTATATATATGTGCATTTTGGAAATCGTCAGAAAGATATCTCAGGGAATTAATTAATCACAAATTAATTCAATCCATTGAGAAAATAATATTGAAATATTTGAGCTATATATATATATATATATATTATATGAGGCTGGGAAACTAAATTAAACCTCTAAAGGAACAAGACAAGAAAGACAGACAGCATATTTATATAAAGTATGTGTTATTATTATTATGATTAAGGGGCCAATGGTTTTGTTCTAGCTGGCTAGCTTGCCATAAAAATATTTCATATATATATATATATATATATATATTAGTTATTTATTGATTTAGTGTAACATCGATGTAACTTTAAATTTCCACGTAAATACAAACATTGGTTTTCTTTAATATATATATATATATAGCTTGTTATCGAAGGGCAACGGATTTTCTATAAATATTTTATACAAGAATTTAATTCATAACACAAATTTGACATATTTTGTAAAATCAAAAGAAATTACTAAAATTCGTCAATATCGACCGAGTTGGTATGGTATAGTTCGAAAGGTCACCATTTTCACAATTTATTTTTTTTTTTGATATTTTATAAAAATAAAAAAGGAGAGTGGGTGAAGATGAGGGAGGGAGCATTTAAATGAAGATTGTTAGTGACATTTGGGTAAGCATTAAATTGTCACATGCTTTGGTCCTATATATCTACTTTATTGCATCCTGAATTAATTTATATATGTCAAATTATTGCAAAATAAACTAAGCAAAATATATATGTACCCGAATCTGGTAACGGAACTGCACCAAAACATACACATATACATACACACTCTACCAAATATATTTCATTTGGAAAATAACATCAATATAATTTTATTAGTTCCATCATATGCTAAATTTTATTTCATTATTAATTTTAGACAGTTGGATAAGTGTTAATCTAAAGGCTAGTATTTAATCGAATGTGAAATTATAATTTTATCAATATAATTTCATCGTTAATTTAATAGCCTTTAGTAAAATAACTTAAAATATCTGAACATTTTTATGCATTTAAATACAAACAACACAAGTTTAATACATATATAAATACAGACAATAATATATTATTAATATCTCTATTCAATATCATTCAGTAAAATAATTTTACAAATTTAGACAATCTTATGTATAAATACAAAAAACATACCATTAAATATGTAGTCAACAATTTATATAAATACAGACGCCACGTATTTAACATCTATTTAATACTATTTGATAAAATAACTTATAATATATATAAAATATCTTACATTTATAGATACAAATGTTACATTGTTAATATTAAAAAAAAATCTACGTCCAAAAAAATATTAATTAAATAATTATTTTTTAAAAAATTATTTTCTGACACATTTAATTAATGATACGATACCTAAAATAATAATATTTAATTAGTTAATAATAGTAAATCATAATATTATTTTATTATTTTTATATAATTAATAATATTAGTAAGTTTAAAGATATATTTAATATATATAATTTAAAAAATTAGCATATGTATTATTTCAAAAATTATATCACAATAAAAAACTATATGCAATATAAACATTATGTAATAAAGAATAAAATTTCATATAATATAAATAAAGAAAGAAATATGTTTATTTATTTATAATTAACATAAACTAATTTTATAAAAGTGGTAGAATTTTAAATATAGATAAAATTATTTGTGTTTTAGGAGCAATAAAAATAAAAAGAGTTTTGAATAGGTTCTACATGATGTATAATACTTCCTCTGATATAAAAATATTTTTAAAAGACCAAAATACTCATACTTTATACTCCTACCGTCCAAGCAAAAACTATATTTACTTTTGGCGAGAAGTTTAAGAAATAATAGTATTTTAATTATAGTGAGTAGACAAAAGTATTGTAATGACATTTTTGCCCTTACTTTTTTGATATAAAAGTAATGATGTGATATAAAGTACGGGTATTCGTGGAAAAAATACGGTATTTAATGAAATTGTTAATTTGTAATTGGACATCACAAAATGAAAATATGTATACTTTCTAACTGGACGGATGGAGTATAACTATTGTAAAAAAAAGTGATGATAGTTTTGTAAAAGTGTAGAAAATGAGTTACCAAAAATAGAAACAAAACTATTATTTTGGAACGAACAAAAATGGCAAAATAAAACTATTATTTTGGACGAATGAAATATCATATGTTATTTAGTTAATTAAGTTAATTTATATTTATTAAATATATTTTAATTTAATAAATTTTACCCAAACAAAAATATATCAATTGTTATAGAATTAAAAAAATAAATAAAAAATAAACTGTTAGTTATAATGGAACATATGAATTATTTAATAAATAAAATACAATAATTTTATTAAAAATCGGACATGAGAATTAAATAATCGTAATTTTAATTTAAACTATAAACCAAAAACCAGTAGATTTCAGTTCTTTATAGAAGAAATAAATAAAAGTAGGGAACTGTAGAGCAGCAACTGCAGAGAGAGACAGTGCAGTGCAGGTCTCAGCATAGCATTCAGACCTAAAGAATGTCATATAATTTTACCATCATTACACTATCATTTACTCCCGACCCCACCTCCCCGACACGTGTCAATATCTCACTGGAGCTCAGATGGGTCAGATATTAAGGCCCTGTTTGGGGACAGTGACTTGTGAGTCTTACTTTTGATTTGCTTTTTTCGCCATTCATATCAAAATTTATTTTTTATATATATATATTTGTACGTATTTGTGTATGTATACTCTCTGAAATTGAAGAGCTCGAGGCACTTACTTTTGCATGGAAGAAAGCTGATGAGAATTATATAACCAGAAATGGGGCCCACATTATGATAATAATAAATAAAAAATAAATTAGAATATCGAATAAATATAATGTAGAAATTAAAAGTAGGGTCAAAAACAATGCCCCTTTACTTAGGGTTTTATCCTTTTGCTCTTGGAATTTTTAGCATCCTCGATATGACAATATTTTCTCATGTTTTGCCTTGTTTCATATAAAGGGAAAAAGTAGTTTATTATTATTATTATTATTATTATTAAAAAGGAAACTTAATTTTATTGTAGATGGCATAATTTTAAAATGAAAGTGAAAAATCTAACACCAAATAAACGTAATTTATTTAATTTTCTCTTACAAACAAAATTATGTGCTTGAATGCCAAAATATTTCAATTGGAAACTCATTGTTACATCTTAAGCTAAGGGTTTGTTTGTTTGTTGGTTTGTTTGTTTGTTTGTTGGTTTACCAATACTCTCAATTTTTATATCTTTAAACATAGTATTAACCATTTTTTTTTCCATAAACAACGTAACCAATTTTTTATGCCACTTTGTAGCAATAATGGAATTGTTTTTTAAGAAAAAGAAAGAATGTGTGGGAAAACACACAAGTAAGTAATGACAAATAAATAAGTATAAATTAAATTAATAAATGTAGAAAATATGGATGATGATGATAATAGAGTGCCCGCCTTGAATGCCGGGCAGACAAAGACAGGACTGAGCTAGACGACGACCCTAATTGCAGACTATCAGAATATATATATATATATATATGTGTGTGTGTTTGTGTGATTCCCAAACCAATGAGTGTTGTAAAAACAGTGTGTGTCATTTACTACTCACTTAAATTAATTGTAGAAAATATTCAGACACAGCCGCACCCCCCCTGCCTGCCCGCCTGCCTACCTTCAGTAATACATACATTATACATATATATATAGAGAGAGAGAGAGAGAGACATAGAGAGAGAGGCCCGAGAAAGTTTCGGGCTGGCCCGGATTTGTTAAGTATTACTATGGACGAGAGAGAGAAAGAGAGAGAAGGTCAATCATAAAGCAATGGATTACAAAATCATTGATTGATGATCTCTGCTGGTCCCTTTTGTATTTGTATCTATAATATATATATATTAATATGTGAAGGATTTAAGTGACAAGTCGAGCAGAGAGAGAGAGAGAGAGAGGGAAAGAGAGAGAGAGTGTGTGTATTATGCATATATATATATATATATGATATTGATATATCGATTCATTGATTCATTCTTTTTCCATTTCTGCTTCATTTATTTGTCATTACATTTTATGCAACTGAAAACTGCTCCTCTCTTTTTCATTAATAACACAAACCCCAATCACACACATGTACAACACATACTCTCTCTCTCTCTCTAATCTCTCTCTAGGTTTGTATTTTAGTTTAGAGTTTAATAATGGTAAAATACTACTTCCTCCATCACTTAAAAAAAAAATAAAAAAACTTTTTACTAATCTCTCAATTTTTTGGTATGAATTTTACTATGATGTTTACTAGTCTCTTTTAATTTATAGTATAAGAAATATAAAAAATAATATATTTTTTACTAAATAAAAAATAAGAATATTTTTAGGTGAAAGATTAAAAAAAAAAAAAAAAAAAGAGCACAAATTTAACTAATAGGGGGAGTATAAGATATGTTTGACTCATTTTGATGCAAAACTTTAAATGAAGATTTAATGTTTGATTTCATGATTTAGTAGAGAAAAGAAATTAATATAATGAGTTTATTCATAAATTTTTTACACTCCTTTCAATTAGCATTATAAAATATAATATACAAAAATATATAATATATATTGTATTAATTTAAAAGAAAACCAATATAAAATATTTAAATTTATGTAAAGTATAGAGAATCGTGTAGAGAATATAAAAATAGTGAATGTGTGTAGTATATTACTCCATTCGTCTCAGATACTATGTCCATGTTGCCGTTTCTGTCCGTACCACATACCATGTCATTTTTCTTTTTTAGAAAATGATTACACACTTTAATCTCATTTTAAATTTTTTAATTTTATTTTTTTAAAATTTTAATTAAACTAATTAGTTATCTTAATCTTAATTTATAATTATTTATATTATAAGATAATTATTTTCATTAATACATTCTTAATTATCTACTAATTACATACCTCCTAAAATACTGTGTTTACAGTGTAACAGACACGGTATTGGGACGGAGGGAGTAATATTTTGAAAAAAATATGTGAGAAAAAAAAGTTAGGAAAAACAAAACCTATTTTATATTAATGGCACACTGTCTAATAATTGGTGCAAATTATTTGAGGGTCTTTTTTTTATTATTTATTTATGTAGACAGCCTCCTAAACCTATGTTTGTTCTAGAAAATATAATTTGAAATTTATGCCTAAATTTGACTCATTAAATAATTGTCCTATTTAAAGGCTTCATTTGTCTCATTAAAATTTTCTTATTTAGAGTTGACCTTAGTTTAATTTATTATTATTATTATTATTGAAAGGAACCAAAATATATGAGCAACTTAAAAAATTATATATTTGAAATACATATGCTTTAATCTACTACTTCATACAATAGGAACCTTAAGCTCTATTCTCTTATTTTTATTTTCTCAATTCATTTATTATTATTATTTAAAAGAAAATAAAAATATTTTATTATTCTTTGTGATATATATTTCTTTATTTGAAAAAAAAGAAAAAGAAAACCTAATTAATCACACATAGTAAATAGGGCAAAAAAATATATATCTTGAGATAATATATATTTATTAATAATTAAGAATTAAAAAAATATATATCCATAACTGGGCTGGACATGTTGAAGGCCCAAAAAGAAAGCTTCATTCCACACAAAGTGGCCCATTCAGAATCGCCTCAACTTAAATGCTACTCATAATGAACGTTTGAGATAAATTAATAAAATGGCCCATAATTTATAAAATTCGCATTTTATTGAAATCTGTAAATAATGATCTTATTCAATTGAAAATAGCATTATAAAATTTGCGTTGTCACACACATAACTATAAACATTGGAGTGCAATATAAAATTAATTTTAAACAATTTTGACAAATGACGCTTACAATACTAAATAAAATAAAATAAAATAAATAGTATCATTATCATATTATTTATTTACTTAAAAATAAATAAAATAAATAAAAGAACATGAAAATCTAATTCTGATAAAGAATTTTGAGCTACCACAATTATTGTTGATTTCCCTTTAATTCATATTTTATTTGTCATTTTCCATTTGTCATTTAATGTTAAACGTAACAAACCCCACTCACATTTTTCTTCTGTAGCAGTATGTTGTGATTTATTTATTTATTATTATTTTGAATAATAATATGGATGTGATGTTATGGAAAAGGAATTAATATATTTTATAGGAATCCTAATTATTGAATAATGGAAACTATAAAAATAATTGTTAAGTAAACCCTATTCATACTTCTTCCATTTCTCCTTTTTTTTTTTTTTTTCCTTTCCGAATAATTATATATATATATATATGTTATTAATTTTTTTTGACAATGAAAATTAATCATAAATATATATCAAGAAAATGTAATGGTTGCATTCATACCTTCACAATTATTGCACCAACCAACCAGAATATAAGCAACAATTTAATCCACAAAAGATGGAAGGTCAAGAATATATATATATATATATATTTGAAAAATATTTTTATTGATATAATATTTGAAATAATAATAAAATGTAGTAATATATTTTTCAGATATATGACATCCAAATTATAGAATATGCAATTAGTCGATATTTAATAACAAATATTAGTAATTAAATTTTTTGGATACGTACTCGATCTTAATTATTTGGACCCTGATTGTGATTTCTGATATTAAAAACAATTTGTGCATTTCATTCTTCATTAATTATATTTTGAATTAGCAATAAATCAACAGGACCTCTGTATGGTTATCATCAATTTTGTATAGACAATTTCCACAAGGTTCTTGACTTTCATGAATTTTTGGTGTATTTGTTTATGTATTTTGTATTTATTTTTTATATTTATATAGTAATTAAATATAATATTTTATGAAGAACAATACTATCTATGTCACATAAGAACGGCATTGTTTATTTTTCAGCATTATTGTATTTAACATTAAATATATTTTTATATTTGTACAAGTTATTCCACAAATATTATTGTATTTTAATTATAAGAGATTCGTAGATTTTTTTTTTCTTTAACAAGAAGTGTATAATAAAGAAATTGAAAAATATAGACATTGTATGTAAATGTTATTGTTACAGTAATAAAAATAATAACAATAATACATTTAAGACCTATTTTTTTCGAGTGCAAAAAAGAAAAAAAATTGTAATTGTTTGATTGTAATTTAAAATTGATTTAAAATTAAGTATTGATTTGTATTTTTATTTAAATAGTATTTTGGTACGATATTTTTATATAGAAAAATAGTAATATATTTATATTGAAAATTGTGCAAAGTAAATAATATTGATTTATTCACAATCAAACACTTGAATTGTGAAAAAAAAAAAAAACTAATATTAAAAAATAGAAGACAATTTTTTAAAAAAAGTTTCAACAATTAGGGATTAAAGTCACAAATACTTAAAAGAGTAAAATACTTTTAATTAGCATATTACCATGTTTTCTATTCAAAAAGAAAAGAAAAAAAAATGATTTGCTATGTAACTTTATTGAAGAAAGCATTCCATTTTAATTCAATCTTTTTTTAAATTCAATTTTAAACTAATAAGAAATGGAATATAAGCAAATGGTATATTAGTTTATTGGTGGCGTGTTGACCACATTATCTAATAACAAATAATACAATGTATTACTTCAGTAAACACATCTTTTATATTAATATAATACAAATACAACACATAAACTAGCAGCAACTATGTAATAACAAACAACATACTGTATTACTTATGGTTGCACACCCCTTATATTAATATAGTACAAATACAACACATAAATCAACAGCACATGCTATAGTCATGTATAGCATACACAACAGTTGATTTTAAGACATGACATGCTCTTATACATCATACATATAATTATAAACAAACGACACACGCCTCTGGTAAGAACATGTATAATAAGAACATGTGTTGTTTATATGTATTATATGTGTTGATTTAAAAATTCAGCATGGTATTGATTTGAAAAATATATCCATTAAACTAAAACACATATTTTTATATTTCATATATACCTAAAATATTCAAAGCATACCCAAAGTCTCTCTTATAATACTATTTTAAAAATATATATACATTAAACTAAAAAACTAAAAAAAATACAATATTTTTTTTATACTATTTTCATACTTTTTCGTAATTCACCACAAAAATATCTAAAATTACAAATACTAAGGTGATCTAATTTGTTTGATACTACTCTTAAATTTTTGCTCCAAAAAATCAAATCAAATACCTATTTTTTAAAATTATTTGTTATATAAAAAAATAATTGTATATTCAAAATATCACATCAACTCTTATTTATATCACATCTAACAACTAGTCGAATTTAATTTTAATAATTCAAATCAAAATCACCAAACAAACACAAATCACAAATGTACATGCATATAAAGCTTTATTAAAACATATTCGAAAATTACTTTTTAGTATTATCCATCTGCATATTATTTTTGAAAAGCTTCAACATAAATTTTTTATTTTTTTTACAAAAATAGTACATCCAATACATAAAAACTTTATTATTCTTTAAAATGTTTAAAACTCCAAAACTTAAAAAACAATATCTAAATATTTGGTAAATTATTGACCACACTTTATAGGACATAAAAGTAAAAGATTTTTTTGGCCCATTGCATCTTTTAAGCTTTACCTTTTCTTTATTTATATATTGGGTTTGTATGGTTTAACTTTTTATAGTAGTAATTTGAATTTGTATATATAATAATATATCAATACAAAAATATTATATTTTTATTGAAAATTGTTATAAAAAAATTTTGTTGTAAAGAATAAAAAATCAAACTAGACCTAAGTATTGTTTGTGTCATTTCATTTCAATGTGACAATTAAATTGAATTCAATAATTGGGCAATCCTACAACTCAAATTCACATGTAAAGTAAACAATCATATGTTACTAAATGTGGTATTTATGCAAGAAAAGATGCAACAATCCATTCAAAGTGCTTCTTCCTATGATTGGTTTAAAACATGCAATACAATAGACATTTATCAGTATTTCTTCTCCTAATACAATTTTACTATACATCAATTTCAGCTTATTTAGATATACTTTGAAAGTAATTTAAATTTTAAAATTACTTATAATAAAAAATAATAATAATAAATATTTTCTATGTTATTCAACTTTTTTTTACTTTCTTTTTTTTTTTTTTGTTCTCATTTAAATTTATTTTGTTTTTTTGTAATGAAAAAATAGTATTATTTTTTCTAATTTTTCTTTATCTTACTTTTAAAATGCGTGTCGATCAAACGAGCATAAATTTTAACAACAGAGAGAGTATTACTCCCTTCGTCCCGGTCCAAATGGACATTTTGGAGTTTTGTAGTAAATTAAAAAATAACTGTATTTTATTAGTTAGTGAAAATGTGTAAGAGATTTTGACATTTTTACACTTTGACTTTATGTAATAGTAATTATATGTACGATGATATGTTTGTAACTTAGGTAAGAGTTAAAAATATTTTAGTATTAATGTATGATTATTTTTAGTAAAAATAGAAAAGACATACTTTTGAATAAGACAGACGAAAATGATAAAAATAAAACTTTGAATTGAGATGAAAATAGTATTTTAGAGCATAGATCTGCTGCTAATCCGATCAAATCATGTGTTGATTTGATTATCTTACCAATTATTACTATATTAAAATTCTAATTTTCCTTCCAATTTAAGAAATTTTTCAAAATTTCAAAATTTAAATTATTTAGGCATTTACTTATTTAAAATTAAATCCGTGATGAAATAGTTTCACGATAATTAATGAATCGATGAAGATTCTTACAAACCCCACAAATCACAATCATTACTAATCCCTGCTTCAGCAACCACCTCTCCTTCCTCTTTCTTCTTCACAAAAATCCCCAAATTCTCAATTAATTCTTCACTTACAGAAATTCAGAGTTGAATTCGAACAAGAATCAATGGCGATCGACGCTGAAACCGCAGCAACATCGTACTCCTCAAATACGCAACCACTCTACAACTCCAACTGCGACGAAATCTTCATGCACCACAGACTCCAATTCTCTAACAATCTAAAGGTTTTTCTTACCGCTCTGCATCTTTTAATGTTGAATTTGTCTGTCCGAACGATTAATTATCGATTTCGCCTTACGATTTCGTTCTGTTCTTCTTCAGGACTTGAAAAACCTAAGGCAGCAACTCTATTCTGCAGCGGAGTATTTCGAGACATCCTACAATAAGGATGATAATGATCGCAAACACATGTAAGAACAAAACATTTTTTGCAATAGCACTTTTTGCGATCTGTTCGATTGATTGATGTTTGTTTTAGGTTTCTGTCTCTGTTCTTACACTAGCGATTTTGAATTTGTCTGCGCAGCGCGTTCGAATCGTCGAAAGAGTACGTCTGCAAAGCTCTTGTTAGTACTGTCGACCATTTGGGGTCCGTCGCCGACAAACTTAACAAATTTTTGGACCAGAAAACAGAGGAATTCTCTTCCACCAACACACGCTTTTATTGCATTGAAAAGGTTTTTTTTCGATCCCATCGAATGTAGTTAAGAGCCTTTTTGCACTAATCATGCTTTCAAAATTTAAAAGTTTCGGTAAAATTTTTAGTAGAGATAAAAGTTTTCAGAGTGAGAAAATTTTCAATAATAGTAAAAAATTTAGTAGTTGATATACATGCAGTGTGAAATTAAATTTATTAAAAATTTATTATTGATAAACAGTGTTAAAAAATATTTGTTTAAAAAAATATTTATATAGACATATTTTAGGGCTGGGGCGAAAAATATTTTGATATATTGGAACACGCCCCTCAGGTGCAAGCCAAACTCGAGACTTAACCTAGGCTCTGATACCATATCGGATGTTAATGACCGTCTCACCTAAAAGTTCCAACTGTTAGGGAAACATAAGTCATTATTCATATATCCGCAAACGGGAGTCCCAACAAAACTTTTGTTATTTTAGAGGTTAAATGCATTCTATGGATTTGTCGACTCAAGAGGCATATCGCGGCATTCCCTGTTTCCGGAAGCTCCCGAGCACCATAAGCAATATAATTTGCCGGGTAATAATTTTGTATGACAAGGACATATACGATTCTTATTAATTTGTGTACTGTTAAGTTTTTGTTTGTTCGTGCTCAATGGAACACATATGATGTTTGCGTTTTTTAGGTGCGCGGAATTCATATTTTAAGAAGCTAAATTTGGTGTATAAAGATTGTATCCCGTGCGATGAAAACGAGACAAATCCTTCGAAGCAAGGTAACCTCAACTTCTACAAAGCTCGAATAAATAAAATTCAAAATGATCGGATATCTTAATATTTAAAATTGGTGCAAATTTATTCTTAGATAATCCGTTCGCCAAAGCCTTTCAAGTATCGGTTGCAATGCCACAACCGCCATTGTTAAGGTAACATTTATTACACTATATATATATATATATATATACAACCGCGTATAAAAAGATCACATATCTATTTATGATTATATTGTTCGCAATACCTAAAATCTCCCAACCTTTGTTTGTGTAGGAAACAAAACATAAAGAGCTTTTCAAGCGAACTCCCTATGAAACAAGTTAGCCACGCATTTGCTCGGATCCTATCTACTAAAGACACGGGTTAGCGCAAGTTAAGGCTTAAATTTAGTACGCCTTGTCCAAATGTTTCGATTGACACGAGTCTCTGTTTCAGCGAAATCCTCTGTTTCGCCTCATAGCTTCGCCCTCAAGAGGTCGAGCTCGGCTGCCTTCAGATCAGCCTCTCCCGATTCGTCCATCAAAAGAAACCAAGTAAGCTGATGTAGCGAATAAAAATTAATGAATATCGGATCAAGTTTATCCGTTAAGGTTGCGCTATTATCAGCCATAGAGACAGAGCACGTGTTCTAATTTCGAGCAAATACTGCATTGTGTTAGAGTCGAATTCTTACACGAAGAATGGCTCTTTTTTTGTAGGTGCATACTCCATCGGAGTCGGGAAGATCGATTATGTCAGCGCGTGTAATACCGGAGACGACGACGACGATGAACAAGGAAAAACAGATAATATCTTACAGTCAGAGGAGTAAGAATTTTTTGAAAGCTTTACTCAGCATTCACCATTCTAGAAGAAGCAGCAGGTGATACATACATACATACATACATACATTCATATATATATATATATAGCCTTTCTTTGTAACTAATATATATCTATTGTGGAAAACTACATGGCTACTTTTCGAGTGCGATCATTCCGTTGGATGTTATATATGTTTAAATTTTTAATTGTCAATAAAAATATTATTTTTCTATAATTGTATTTACTTATATTAATATAATTCGTTTTTTAATATTACATTATACAAAACATATCTAAAATTAAAAAATAAAATAATATAGACTGGTCCGCCCAGTATAGTTTAAAACCAAGCCATGATTGATCGTGAGTTTCCAATCAGTCCGGGCCTATCCAATGAAAAATGAAAATGGGCTAGGACGGCCCGACATTAAAATCATTTTTTGTTGTTGAATATCACAATTATCGATTTTTGTCCAATTGAATTTTTTTTATTAATTTTGGTCCTACTCAAATAAAATTTATCAATTTTAATTCCAAAATGGTTGACTGAAATTGAACACGGTCGTGTTAAATGACTTATAAGGGTGACTGAGCCCCCCAAACAGCCAACACGACTATATTCTCAATGCAGTCATGTTTTAAGTCATATTCACATTCATTTTTTATTATAGGTATATTGTAGGTGATGTTTATTATTATTTTCAGTTCTTTGTTAAAAGTATTTGGCATATATATATATTTATAATTCAACCAAAAAAAAAAATATTTACAATTATTTCATAATTTAAAAATAATCATATGTATATATCAAATTTTAATTACAACAATGACTTGGCCAACAAAGCGATAAAAATACGATATGTTCATATCAAATGGTTGTCGATTTATTATTGTTTGGCAATCATCCATGGACCATATCATATCATACCTCCCCTTCATTCATATATATATCAAATGGTTGTCGATTAATTATTGTGATGTCCCCATAGTTGGGAGTTTAAATGAATCGAACAAATTACTCATATTAGTGATATGTACATTTATTTTTTCCGAAAGTAAAATTCACTGATTGAATATTTTTCCAAATGAATGACCTCAAAATGTTGTCGTAAAGTATACTTAGAATAGAATTTTGCGTAAAAAAAATTTATTTCGAATAATAGAAACCATAAGTAGACATAACCTAAATGCTATAGGTATTTTAGTCCATGTAAATAGATAGTTAATACTCCCTCCTACCTAAAAAAACTATCCATTTGCTTTTTACATGTAGTTTTAGAAATATTAATATTATATTGGGATATAGTAAGAATAAAAGTAAAAATGACTAAAATAACCTTGTTAGTATGTGTGATATAAAGGTAATGATATTTGTGTAATATATTGTAAGTTGTAAGGGTATTTGTAATGTTAAGTAGATAGTACAGTTACTAAAAAAAATGAAATAGATACTTTGTTATGGACAAACTGAAATAAAAAAAATTGAATACTTTGTTATGGGATGGAGAGAGTATAATGTTTTGAATTTAACAATATATATAGTGTATGTAATTAGTATAAAAAATAATACTAATAACTATTTATAATTTGTTTAGTTATGATTCAATATTGAATATTAATAAAATATTAATTTAACTTTTTGTTTAAATATTATTTAATACGATATTTTATGAAAAAATATCATATATTTTTATTAAAAAATTATGAATAGTAAATAATATTGATTATAACAGTAAATTTTATTTATAAATAAATTATTGATGTAATATACAAGGTGGGACAAACTCCCACAATTAATTAGTTAATTAATTTATTTAAGCCAAAGCCTATAATGATATTTTAATCCAAAATTATATTTTAGTCCGAATAATTAAAAACGTCTTGATTAATTCATATTTTTGGTTCAATACTTTTACTCACCGAAAAATATATTTAGAAAAAAATCAAATTTAACTTCTTTTAAATTAAACTCTATCAATTATTCAAATCTATTTATTCAATAATCATTACATCACCACTAACTGTACTCTAATTAAAAATATTTATTTATTTAAAAATTTTAACGATTCTAGACACCCATATTTACTTGATTGAACCTACGCAATTAAAAAATATAATTTAAGTATTATTTTTTAAAATTTAATTCAATTTTCGAACAGTAGTGTTTGACTAGCACAACAATTTTAGCGCTCCCACAATGTCGGAACCATGCATTTCCCAAACACGTTTTTTAGCTCATCTGATTATTCATTTTTATTATACAAATACGTCCAAAATATTTATAGAGACTATATATATAAATATAAAATATAATATAATTAATTAATTACACATTTATAGTAATTTTTATAATTTAAAAATAAATCCGTTCTTCACTACATTGAGTCATTGATTATCACTAAAAAAAAATATATATATATCTTTATTATTATATTTATTTTATTTCATCCAATGAAATTTGAAAGAGGGGAGTGGTACAGTGAACCGCAGAGCAGAGGAACAAAACTCTATTGTTTATCGGAGAGAGAGAGAGAGAGATGAGGCAAGTAGGCGAAGTACAATAGATTCCAAGAACTTGTTGCTAAAATGGCAGAAGAAGAAATCATCGGTAGAATCACAGTTTCACCACCACCATCATCATCTGCGCTTCTCTGTCTCCTCCACACACCAGAAAATAATGAAGGGGCCGTCATCGGACCCCGACGACGACGCCGCACAAGCACAGACACAAACATACCCGCCTCCTGAGCTACTCATGGAATTGGATCTCGATCTCGATCTCGATGCAGTCTGGCCTTTGGATCAGATACTGGCCGCCGCAGCGGCGTCGTCGTCGTCGAATCCTGCGTCGCCGTTTCTTCTGTCGAACTCCGAGCAGCCGTGCTCGCCGCTATGGACGTTTTCCGATGACAATAGCAGCGGTGCTTTGGTCGCTGGCGCTGGTCTCCGGTTCTCCGACTCCTCCAGGATTCATTCTTGTACGGATTTTTGTCTCAGAGTAATTTGATTAGTAAGTTACTGTGTTTTGCTTTGTTGTGTGCTCTACGTTATCTTCTTCGCTGTTTTGCTAATTGATCTGCTTTTGGTGTTTGTATAGCTGATTCCTTGCTGCATTTCAATAGGAGTTCGTGTCATTTAGACGAAATTGATTTCTAGTAAGCATCTTGTTGGTCTGTTTTTGTTTGAACAACTGTTTTATACATCAAATTTCTGTTAGTTTGATTATAACTTTGAATAGCGATTTTTGCTTGAAGCTGCTCATCAGATTGCTCTGAAGATTTATACACCTGCTTAAATTGATTTTTGCTTGAAATCAATCACCTGCTTGTTTTGTTAGTTGTTTAATCTTCTGCTTAGCAAGAGTGACATTTCTGTAAGCTCTAGTTGCATTAGATGATGCCTTCATTGATCTTTGAAAGATTTTATCAACTATGTTAATATGAATGATTTGTTTTTTGGAGACAGATGCTAACAATAACACTGAAATGGTGACCGAAAGTCCCATTGATGGTAACAACAAGGAGATGCTGCCTTCTCCATTTATGGGATTAGTGCCCCTCGAACATTCGGATGGATCATTCATAATAAAGGAAAGATTGACTCAGGCTCTTCGACAATTGAAAGATTCGACTCAACAGCATGTCCTAGCTCAGGTTTGGGCGCCTGTAAAAAATGGTGGCAAGTATGTGCTCTCGACATCCGGCCAACCCTTTGTTCTCGATCCTAACAGTAATGGTCTCCATCAGTATAGGTTGATATCTCTGATGTATAAGTTTAATGTGGATGGAGACAGTACTGAAGGAAACCTAGGACTTCCAGGACGAGTGTTTCGACAGAAGATTCCAGAATGGACGCCAAACGTGCAATACTACTCTAGCAAAGAATTCCCACGTCTAAACCATGCATTAAATTACAATGTTCGAGGAACTTTAGCTTTGCCTGTGTTTGAACCTTCCGGGCAGTCTTGTGTTGGTGTTCTTGAGCTTATAATGACTGCCCAGAAAATCAACTATGCTAATGAAGTTGATAAGGTCTGCAAGGCGCTTGAGGTTAGTTTATGTTTCGTCTCTATGTTCTTGAGCATTACACTAGTTGTTGTATTTTGGTTGATATTCTGTGTTAAATCCTCAATGAATTAGTGTATGTATGTGTAACTGCATCAAAATCGACAGTATATGCAAACAATCTTGTCTCTATTATGTTTTTCAACATTCTACTTGCTCCTTCATTGACAAGGTTTAGTTCTCTCACAGGCTGTGAATTTGAAAAGTTCAGAGATATTGACTCATCAAAACATACAGGTAAAAGATCCAAAACTGTTGATTCGAAAGATCATGCCGGCAACAAGTAACTTCTTCATCTAACTTCATCTACTCGTGTTCTTATATAGCCGATATGCAATGAAGGTCGACAAAATGCATTGGCCGAAATTTTGGAGATAATTACAATGGTTTGTGAAACACACACATTACCACTAGCTCAGACTTGGGTTCCTTGCAGGCATCGTAGCATCCTCACCAATTGTGGTGGATTCAATAAAACTTGCAGTAGCTTTGACGGGAGCTGTGCGGGACAGGTCTCTATGTCGACAACTGATGTCGCCTTTTATGTTGTGGATGCTCAAATTTGGGGTTTCCGCGAGGCCTGCGCAGAGCATCACTTGCAAAAGGGGCAAGGTGTTGCCGGCAGAGCATTCGCTTCGCAGAGCTCTTGTTTCTGTCAAGATATAACGAAATTTTGTAAGATCGAATACCCGTTGGTGCATTATGCTAGGATGTTTGGGTTGAGAAGTAGCTTCGCGATTTGCTTGCAGAGCAACTATACTGGAAATGACAACTATGTTCTAGAATTCTTTCTGCCCCCGAATATCAAAAGCTACGGCGACCAGCATGCCCTGTTGGAGGCACTTTTGTTAACGATGAAGCGACACTTTGGAAGTCTAAGGGTAGCTTCCGGAGAAGATCTTGACCATGAATGGAGGTTTAGGGAGGTCATTAAAGCATCCATTAATGATGAACTTGATCTCAGGCCGAGCTTCGATTTGGCTTCTCCATCTAAACCCGATGCTTTTGATGGACAAGCGACGAATAAAGAAAATATTGGTGATCTGAATGAAGTTCAAATCGCGGTACCAAAGGATGCAGGCAAGAAACTGGAAAGAAAGCGAGGAAAGGCCGAGAAAACTATTAAGTTAGAAGTTCTGCAACAATATTTCGCCGGCAGTCTTAAGGATGCTGCAAAGAGTCTTGGAGGTATTCTTGATGCTCTTCCTTTTGTATGTTTAGTCGAAATCTTAGTCGAAATCTAACTGAATCTGTTTTAAGTTTGTCCTACAACAATGAAGCGAATCTGTAGGCAGCACGGGATCACCCGATGGCCCTCCCGGAAGATCAACAAAGTTAATCGATCTCTCTCGAAGCTAAAGCGTGTGATCGAATCAGTTCAAGGAGGCGACGGTACATTCAGTTTGACATCTTTGGCTCCGAGTACCATCCCCGTTACGGTTGGTCCAATTACTTGGGCCCCGACTTCAAATAAAACGAATCAACATAACGACGACAAGAATGAGGTTGCCATGTCTAAGTCGAACCCATCCCAAGCTGGAACTGGCTCGAGAGAAGAAAGCATCGAGACCCCAACTTCCCAAGGCTCATGCCAGGGCAGCCCGTCCTGCAGAATCGACACCTCTCCTCTTAACGATCCAGTCGAAGAAAATAATACGAGCGCAGCTGGCGCACACAAATTGGCGTTATGTCGAATGCTAGTCGAAGATGCAGGAAGTTCGCACGATTTGCACAAGTTATGCCATCCAGGGGAAGCCCTCTTCGATGTTATCAAGCCCGAAGACAGGTCAGCGAATGGTTCCGATAAGGCAGAGCAGTTTGCAGCCCGGCCCGAAGCGAAATCTATCACTATCAAGGCCTTGTACAGAGATGACATAATCCGGTTTCGACTACCTGTAGATTCAACTATCGTCAAGATTAAAGAAGAAGTGGCGAAGAGGCTGAAGTTAGGTATGGGAACGTTCGACGTCAAGTATCTTGACGACGATCACGAGTGGGTCCTTATAGCTTGTGATGCAGATCTTCTGGAATGCATCGAGATTTCGAAATCTTCGGGTGGTAGCGTGGCGAGGCTATTGGTTCACGACATTATAGCCGATCCCGGAAGCTCTTGCGCAAGCTCGGGCGAGTAAGACCTCGATATTTGTTGTCGATGATATGATATGATATGATTCAAGTAGGGGTGTCTAAGTGTAAATGTTGTCGATTTGAGTTTGTATCTCTACATGGTTCTTGAGGGTAAGTTGGTTTTTTTGTAGGACTTAAAGGTTGTGTTTAAGAAACTTCATTCCTGTGGGTTCAATTTTGTGTACATTTGGTGCTTAATGAAGTTATGTTTTTTTTAATTTTCATTTTGAATTTTCATTTGAACAGAGTAATATTTTGTACAAAAAAGTGACAATTGAGAAATTGAATTCTAACTTCACACGAATGTCAAATATATATATATATATATATATTAAAAAAAGATTAATATGACTGCATGGTAATAAAACCAACGGATTAGCAAGTCAGCCAACAGATTATTCTACTTTCTTAATGGGCCCAATGGGTCCATTAAGCTCCACCATATGTGCCTCTTTTGGACACCAGGCCCACTTCTGATTGGGCTTTACGATCTGCCAATATTTTTTTAGTGGATTTGTAAAATGTAGCATATAATATCAATTGGGCCAGCCCAAGAAGAGTTCCACTTGCATTTGGAGCCTGCATTGCAATTTCAATAATTAATATTAATAATCTCTCAAATTGAAATATATATGTGCAACTAAAATGATAATATATATATATATATATATATATAGACATGCATATAATTAATCAAATACTTTTATGAAGAATTTAAATTAATTTCTATACAAGTCATTATTTTGAAGAAATTAACAATTATGTTCTATATTAGTCACATTTTTAAAATAACATTAAAATGATTTGAATCAACAGAAATTTCACCATAGGGATATAAATGAACATGCAAAATTTCCTATTACTGTTTCTATTTCATCAATCAAAATTTTCAATATTATGATATTTTTTTTAAGGACATATTTTAATAAAGAATTTGATTTTTACGATATTCTACACTTACAAGAATAAATGGGTCGAAACGGATGAAAGCATAAGCACTCCAACAAAGCCCGTTGAAGAAGGAGAAAAGAGAGACGAAAAATGGCATATACTCCACGCTTTTTGTCACGATTACCATTTTCTGTAAATTTAACAATGTAAGCAACATATCAAACATTCAAAATAAATTAAAAAGGAATAATTAAACACAATTGTATGATTTGAGAGTATTGAAATACAATCGAATTTTGAACTTGTAAAAAAAGGGATAAAAAAAAAATGTAGATACAATTTTAGATGTTCTAATTTGATTTATATTGCATGCTATCTAATTTCTATGTACCTATTTTTACTTCAAACTATTTCTTTTTTTTTTTTCTTATATATATATATATATATATAAAAATTCAATGCACTTATGCCTAAATCACTACAAAAAAATAATATATTTGTAACGGAATTCCGTCCCTAAAGTTCATGTAGCTAACGTAATTCCATTACTAATTCCGTCTCTAATGTCATTAGTAACGGAAAAAGTAGATTTAAAGATAAAAAAATTTTGTTTAAAAAATGATTTTTTCTTGAAATAAATAGAGTTTCATTTTATATAAATATAATGGCGTAAATATTACACTATAGCTAGTTCTATATCAACTTTTGTAATAAAATTATGAATTTTATGCTGTTTTTGTGTGCCTATCTTTTTAATATTACTTTCCCACTATTCATTCAAAGAGCTTTTTTCTTGTAAAACTATCATATCTAAAGTTCATTTTTTATTTAAAATGTTATACTAAAAATTAATTATTAATCCAAGACAGTACATTGAAGCCCTGTATATATCACATCAAATACTTATTTATGTATTCAAATTATATACTTCTTTCGTCAAGTTAAAAGGTATACATATTTCTATTTTGGGACGTTCAATTACAAAGTAACCATTGCATTAAATACCATACTTTTTTTTTTCACAAATATTTTTATTTTATATCACATCATTACTTTTTATACCAAAAAACAAGGGCAAAAATGTCATAATACTATGTTACGTACCTACTATTATAATTAAAATACTATTATTTCTTAAACTCCGCGCTAAAAGTAAATGTATACTTCTTGCTTGGAGGAGGGACTATATAATTATTTTCAAAATAATTTAAGACATCAAATTATTTTCAATTAAACACTTTTTTTTTTAGCACAAAAAAAAAAAAAAAAATACAACAAACAAAACTATATGTGCAACGAACAAAATATTACAACTCTATTTAGATCATTTTTGAAATTTTAGAAAAAAAAATTGAAAAGACAGTATAAGAACATGTTTGGTTGTGAGTTTTTTAGGGTTTTTAATATTTTAAAGACTGTCGTCCTATATATACATTATACTTATATTCTTTGTTTCGTTCAATTGTGAGTTTATCTAATCCGGCATGAGTTTTATGAAAAATATATAAAAATATATTTTGTTTATTTTTTATGATACAGAAAAAATAGAAAAATAGTATGTATTTACTAAAAAAAATAAAATAGAAATAAATTTAGATGACAATAAAAAATAAAAGGAAAAATATATTTCGTTGACAGAAAAAGTATCAATTAATTATTTCAATTTAAAATTTTAAAATCGAAATTCACAATCCAAACCTAAAATCACAAGGACAAACACACCCTAAAAAAATTGAATATCTGAGGACATATTTTGTAAAATAAAATTTTTATTCAATATAATATTTAAAAATAATAATAATAATAATAATGATAAAAGCGTATATGAATAGTGTAAATACGATACCATGACAGACAACGGCGCTGCGTACATCAGAATGTTGCCGGCGATGCAGATGCTGCCGACGACGGTCGACCGGAGTTTGGTGGTACGCGCCAAACTGAGCACCAAGGCGGCGAGAACGCCGAGAAAAGCGCACTCCGCCGCCAGTATCGCCGCCACCGTCAGCCGCTTCTTACCGCCGCCGGCGAACACCAAAAACATCGACAAATAGAGAATCTCGATGACAAACCCGGCGCCGTTAATTGTAACGACCAGCGTGCTGTGGGGGTGTACCATAGGCAGTCCGTATAGTACCCACAGCCCGCAGTTTACAAACGTCGCTAAATACGGCGCCGCCGAGTACTCCTCCACCGACCTCTTCTTCCATATCCGCCTGAACGTCGGCCTGCAAATAATTATACATACAAATAATAATAATTATAAATCAAAATTATAAATTAATCAAAAATTCAATTCTTACAAAGGAGACACGAACAAGATCAGAGATACGATGTTGCCTGAATACACAAACAAGAAATCATATTAGGGTTTCATATATATATATATATAAACATATACAAATATTTTAAATTTATATATTATATATATTTATATATTTTATTTACCTATGATGCCAAGAACAGTACGAGCATCGTCTTTACTGAACATGGTGGAAATGAATTTTAATTTCTGTAAACTGTAAGAATATTGTGAATTTTGGATAAGCTGTGTATATATATATAGAGGAGAAATGGGCTTAAGGCTGTGTTTGGATAAATTCAATTTTGTGGGGTGCATTAGCTGGATTTTGGATTTTTTCCAAACAGGGCGTGGACTATGGATTGTACCGTATCCTAACTACTCAATAATAAAGAAAAAGCGAAATAAATGTGGGTGAAATATGTTTTAATAAATTAGATGTAAATTGGTTGGTTTAATTTCTACCATTTTTTAAATTATGGTCGTTCGATACTAAAAATCTTATTCTTTCATTTTATAAGAGTTGATATTTAAATATTAATTATTATATAAAAATATAGTATAAATTAAAAAAAAAAAATGACAAAACTGCTAAATATAACGACGAAAAAGTAAATAAAATTCTTATAATAAGACGGATTTTATTAATTTTTCGAAACATTATTAAAATCAATCGCTTAGTAATATTCATAATTTTACTTTTCTTTTAAAATTAATTAAAATGATATATATATACATACAATATATGTATCTCTACGTTTGTGGGAGTGTGAAATGTGCAGAGAGTAAAAGGTGCATTAATTACTGCCACAGCCACTATCACCAAACTGTGCACACACACATTTATTTATTTATTTATTTGTTGTTATTAATTCGATTTGTAATAACTATTTCTCCCAAATTCTTTGATAATAGGGTTTTTTAAAGGGTGGGTTTTTATTTTATTTTATTTTAAATTTACAATGTATATGATTTTTAACAAAAATATAATTTTTTTTTTTTTTTTTTATAAAAATTACATCAAAAAGTATTTAAATAAAGTTTTTAAGTCAAATTAAAATCAAACATATAATTGTTTAAATTTTTTTTCTTAGACATGATATATACACCCTCCGTCCCGAATACCGTGCCACACTGTAAATACGGTGTTTAAAGATTGGTGTAATTAGTAGATAATTAAGAATGTATTAGCGAAAATAATTATTCTATAATATAAATAATTATAAATTAAGATTAAAATAACTAATTAGTTTAATTAAAATTTTAAAAAAATTAAAAATTTAAAATAAAATTAAAGTGTATAATCATTTTCCAAAAAAAAAATTAACTTGGTACGTGGGAGGGAGTATTTTTTTATAAAAAAATATAATAAAATTATTTTGAATAGAAAAGAAAAATAAAATAGTAAAAAAAATTAACTTTTCATTCCGATCACCTCAAAGTATATATTTACTATTTTATAGTAAATTAAACAATAAATAATATTTTATGAACTTGTATAAGATGATATTGTTAATATTACCATTATACAAGTACAAATAAAATGAATATTTTTATAAAAATTAAAAATATTTTTAGTCAAATAGATAACAATAATAATAAATAAATTGAGTTGAAATGAAAAAAATATATTAAAAAAATATATAAAAATGAGGTATTATATTATGATAATGTAAAAAATATATATTTTTCTGTGAAAATATTACACATATTTAAATACATCTATAATTTATATATATATATATATTTTACTTTTAACTGGTATTTTAAAAATTTTATTGTATATATTTTTAAAAACTTTAATTATCGTAATATCATTATTTTTAATAATATATACTTATATAAAATTTTACTATATATAATTATAAATTCCATTTAAAAATAATATTGTAAAAAGTTCAAAATTCAAAATAAAATAATAATAATAATAATAAAAGCACCTCTGTATTTGTTTAAATTTTTTTATTTATTAATTCTTTTTAAAATATATATATAACATCATTTTCTTTTATATTATGCTTACAAATTAATTTTAAATCTAAAATATTAAAGAAATATTTGTTTATATTGTATTTTACAATTTTTTCTATTTAAAACTCACCGCCGAACAAAATATTACGTATACGAAGAATGTGGTTGAGAATATTCGTACTATATTATTACACATAGAATTGGGTGGTGTGATTGATTGGCGGTGGAAAGTTTGATTAAAATCAAATCCTATTTAATTAAAGATAAATTATATAATACCCAGTTATATTTTTAAGTAAAAATGCATAAATATCTCATGCTTTATTTACTGTATGAGTTTTTTGAGACAAATTGTTATTTTATTTTTATAAAAATTATAAAAATAAATAATTGATCAATTATATATTTATTTATTTGTATAATATAAGTTTTTATTTAGAACAAAATATCAGTTCTAAACTTAGCAGCATATGCTAGAAGTGTAATAAACAATATTTATACATATCTCAATATATTTATAATACATCATATATTATATTATTAATTAACATATATTATTTTATACATAATATATGGTGAGATATATATAAACTTATGTTGGTCACTCCTATAGTATATACTGAAATGCGTATAAATATATGCTAGTCAAATCAACACTCTGTTAATTAAGTTGATTTATATTTATTAATTATATTTTAATTTAATAAATTTTTTAAAAAATAAAAATATATCAATTATTATAAAATAAACAAAAATAAAAAATATATTAATTAAAATGAAAATGTGAGAGTATTATATATTCCTTGCTTCAAAAGCACCCGGCAACATCGTCATCCTCCGATTCTCGGCCCTCGTCCGATTCGGATTAAAGAGGTTTCCGAGCGACTTCGTCTTCTTGTTCCACGACTTGCCCGATTCTTTCAACAACTCCGCCAACCTTTTCCTTTCCTCGTCAAAGTCGGGATTGGCCGTCCCAAGCTTCTCCTCTCTTAGCTTCAGAACGTACTTTAAAATCTCTATCGATTCTCCAATTCTAATATAAAAATATATATATATATATAACAATTCACATTTATATATATAAATAAATTTAATAAAATTAATATAATCACACTGTGCATAGCACGAATTTCAACTAACTCAGTTATAATACACATACAAATATTACCTTCCCATTGCGTCATAAGTGGCCGCAAGATTGCTATAGACGCCGAGAGTGTCCGGATGGCACGGGCCGCGCTCCCGTTCGAGCGTTTCCCGAGCTTCCTCGAATACCTCGACGGCTTCCTTGATCTCGAAAAGTCGAATACAAGCCAAACCCATTTGATTCAACACGACCCCAAAATACGCCGATTTTTTCTCCCCAGAGTTTCTAAGCTTCACCACGGCACTTTCGAACGACCTTCTTGATTCTCCATACCTCCCAATAGTATAAAGCATCATGCCGATCCGTGCCTCGATTCCGGCCGCAGTGCTCCTTTGTCCCGGCCTATCGGCCATCAAATTCCTCGCCTTTCGAAGAAGCCTCAACGCTCGCTCGTGTTCGCCAAACGCCTCGTAAATGGTCGAAAGTTCGACCATTCCGCTCGCAACCTCCTCGGCCGATGTGGTTTCCCCAGCTGGGGGATTTTCGTATATTCTAAGGGCGTTTTCGCAATACGAATGCGACTCGCGGGGCTTCCCGATCTTGTGATATAGGTCAGCGAGGCGGATGAAGACCGCGGCGACGGAGGAGTGGGCGTCGCCGCGGGAGGATTTGAAGATGGTGAGGGCTTTTTGGTAGGCGAAGACGGCCTCGTCGTAGCGGGCGAGAGACGAGTAAATATTTCCTATGCTGAGATCGATTGTGGCAATTTCGGTCTCGTTCCCGTTCGCGATCATGATCATGCTCGCGAGCACGAGGTGTTCCAATGCGGATTCGTGATCGCCTTTAGCCTCGCGGATTAGCGCCATTAGGCGGCGGTCGCCGGCCTCCTCGGGAGACGCCGGCAGGGTGTGGACGCGGTGGATCTCGAGTGCTTTCAAGCATAATTTGTCGGCTTCGTCGAATTGCATGGCTTGCATGTGAGCCTCTGCTAAATATCTGCAGTATTCGCTTCGGTTCGATTAATTTATACTCGATTTGGATTGATGATTTTAGACTATATTGGAGAATCAGATTCAGAAGTAGAAATTGACCTGCATGTGTGTGCGATTCGTGGATCGTCGTTCCCAAAAATCTCCATCTGAATCTTCAATCCTTGTTTATAGCAATCGATGGCTCGATCGGACTGTCCGAGCATCGAACACGTGTCGCCGAGCTGCATATAGCCGGAAAACACCACCGGCGAGTGGTTCGCACGTTTTCCGACGACGATCGCCTTATCAAGCGCAGCCACCGCCGCGTCCATCTTCCCCATCCTGCAGTATATAGCGGCGACTAAGTGGAGGCTGCTCGCCAGATCAGCACCGGCCGCCGCGGATTTCTCGAAGCTTCTAGAAGCACGGAGGGCATAGTCTAAGGCTTTGGTCGCCTCTCCGCCAGACGCCGCCGTGTCTCGAGCCAATTTCAACAGGTACGGACCCAGGTCTGGATTTTCCGGCGAGGATCGCCGCGGGTCCTCCATGGTCGCCGGCGGTGGCGATTTGATGGAAACTAAACCAGGCATAATTAATTTGTTGGATAATGGAAAAAATACTGTATGGAAGTGAAATTGAGAGGTTGGGTAGGAAATTTGGAGCTGAGTATAGAGAATTGAAGAAGAAAGAATGAAATCGATTTGAAACTTGAAGGCTATTAATTTACGAGGGAAATAATACTATCTTAAGGCTAAATCAATTGAATCAATGATGGGTCTTTGCGGATTATTGAATTTACTATTATTACTACTGAATGCTTGTTATTTCTAACAATTGTACTTATGAAGGCTCACTTTAACAACCTTTTTTTTTTTTTTTTTTTTTTTTTATCATTATATAAATTTAAAAAATAATTATAGCGGACCAAAGGAGTAATATTTAACGGTAAACGTCGATATTTACCTCCGGTTACGCGACAAGGCGAGCTTCGTCATCCTCCGGCGTGACAATGTCGACCCTCATCATCGGCCGGTACTTATCGGGCACACAGGCTCCCGCTTGAAAGCAAAGCTCGATCACGGCGGGCGCCTTGCCGTAGAATCTCTTAAGCGCATTCGTTAGCGGCGGCCCGTTAGGCTCTTCAACATGCCAAACGTAATTCGGCGGGAAAACTTCATCTACCGTCGCGTCTTGCCATCCGTGCTTCCCGTCTCGCCACTGGTGTTTAAATTCGCCGCAAAGCTTCGCATTGTGCCCCCACGGCCCGACGTGTACCTCGGAGCAGTACCCGCACGCTTTCACCGTATACTTTCTCATCAGCTTCGCGACGCCCCATTTTACCTTCTCGTAGGCGTAAACGGTCTCCTGAGCGATCTTCGGGATTTCTCGATCGGTTGGGGGTGGGAATCGGTCGACGGCGCGATGAGTGTCGAGTTCGATAATCGGTGATGTCGAGGGGCTGGTGCCTGGGTCCTCGACGAGTCCTCCGATATCGATCACTTTTTTGCCCATCATCCGGATGGGTTCAGTTCTCCTTCGCGACGGATATCCCGGCAGCTCGACGCCTGCTTGGATGCAGAGTTCGACCACGGCGGGGATTCTGTCGAAGTTCAATCTCGTTTCGTGCTTGATGCGCCGGCCGTAAGGATCGTACATGTGGTACGATTCGATAGGGACGAGTATGTCGTCGACGGAGCCTTTTATCCATGAATGAAGACCCTTTCGTCTGCCATTGGTTGAGCCGCGGCAGTTTTGTATGTGATGACCGGTTTCTGCGACATGAATTTCCGAGCATTCGCTGCAAAAGTGTACGAAAGAATCACTTCCTCGGCCGACAACATAATCAAAATGCAAGAAATACGCAAATGCGTTTACCTACAAGCATGGACTGGCACGACGTGCAAGAGCTGCGCAACCCCTCGAATCAAAATTTTCCAAGCATGGACAACTTCGTAAGCAACAGGAACTAACTTTGGAACAAGAAGTCCATTTTTCGGAGGCTCGAGATGCCTCTCGATGCCCATTTGAGCCAGCTTTTTGTTAATCCTCCCCTCCTGCAAAAGCTTCTTGATCGGTACAGGAAAGGGCTTCTTCTTCTTCTTCGGAAGTATCGTAGGAAGATCCACATTCTGAGGTAATATTTCATCTTTTTTCTTGCTACGATTATGATTAGGCCGTTTAGACGTACAGGCAGAGATTCCTCGATTAATTTTGACGGTAGGATTGCTGCACACAAAGCCAAACTGCAAATATACAACTGCAAATGTTCATTATCAATTGACAGAGCACTTATAATATGCATAAGATAACTTCAGATAAATGAAACAAACCAACATATCGACCCTTTTGCAGTAAAACAGTTTAGGTTGTCTTTTTCTCGATTACATTTTTTAAGAAAACACGGCTAGAAGATTACCAATACACATCTGATTCTACCACAAACCAAACATCATAGTCCACGAGAGAGAAAGAAACATGGAACTAAAATGTTATATAAGAACACATGGCAAATTCATAGAAGGTTAACAGTGTATTTTTCAGGTGTAATCGACTTTCCAATAGTGTCGAATTTCCATGTTAAATCGATTCTTCATTAGCAAAATACTAAGAAGTGACCATTTCTAGAAAATACATTAGCACCTAATTCAAATTCAGAAGAGTTGAAACACAAGTAGAACTTTCGGAAAGTAAAAAAAAGAAGACCTTTAGCCCATGGAAACTGGAGTTCAAAACAGGGTGCCGAGACATTTCTGCTAAGCAAAGCGGATCACCTGAAGAAAAATTAACAATTGTTCGGTATAACATCAGTTTAGAAACTTCGCCACGGCATAGGAAATGCAATAAACATTACAAAAGGATAAATTGTATATACCCTTGTTCGATACGGCCCATGGAGCAAAAGATACAGCTGGTAAGTGCCGAAGCATTTATATCTTATAGACCTTTGTTCTAGCCTCACAAGATAAACTTTGATCCAGAAATCTGCAATTTAAAGAACAATAAAAGTCTGAATAAAACAACCTGAAATAATCAAAATTTATGATTAAGAGCATACTGACAAATCATGAACAAATTGACAAACAATATTCGAGCTAGATAATGGTTATAGCACAAGATAATACTTGAAATACTTAAATACATTCAAAAACAACATTAGAAGATTACAAATGTTATTAGATTTTGAGAAATACAATCACTTCCAAGCAGCATAGTATTGTGTTAGAAATTAGAATACAACTGTAAACTAATAGACATAAATACTAAAAATCGAGTAACAGTCGAAGATCAGGAGGACGACGAGCAAGAACAATGATAATGATGATGCCATGGAGATTGAATGTTGTTCAGAAACAATCGTTTCTTCAATTTTGTTCTGCTTTGTTTCGTTCATGTTCTTTTCTGTCGACAACACTTACAAAAACCAGCAACAAAAATTGGGTTTTTTACAGTCTCGTGGAGGAATGAATTCAACCGTGCGAATCAATCTAAAGTCAACACAATTAATTACAACCAACATGATTCAAACCCTAAAAACCATAGCAGCCGCGGTGGCATAGAAAATTTGATAATAATTCGAAAATAGTGTAAGGATTGAGCTAGCCAAGCCTTCGACGAACCTGCCCTGTCGCCCGCTGTCTTGGAGGACCACGTCGAATGGCGGAGTAAAAATACTAAGAAGTAGAAGACGATGACGGTAGGCAACGGAAACGAATTTCAATTTCAGAAGCAGACATACAAAGACGAAAAACCTAAAATAACAGAAAAAAAAAATACCACTTTATCCAAAATGTAAAACCATGTCCATCTGCGCATCCGGGGAATCGAACCCCGGTCAGTACCGTGGGAGGGTACTATGATACCACTACACCAGATGCGCTATGATGTCTGATTCCTCGGAGAAAATATATATAACAGTTTGTAATTAGGAAGAATTCTCTAGGGTTTATTACCATCGGGTCGGCTGAGATTTGTAGATGAATGGTTACTGACGACGACGGAAACTGGTTGGTGTCTGCGTGAGTGCGATAAGGAGGTAATCTTGACGGAAACTGGTAGGAATATTGTATCTCTTAATTGCTTGGAATTGGATATGGAAGTTTTGCAAGTATGGAGTTTTTCGACGCTGTATTAGGTTTTCTTGCGGATCTCGATTACTTGAATAATTTCAATTGTTTTTGAGGTTCTTGTTGGTAACATTACTTGGTGATCAATTGATATTGATACTGTTTGGCTTGGAGTGTTCATTTTTGTTAATGTCATGACTCTGTGGAATTGAGATTGTTCTTGTTGATACAAATTGTTTGAAGCGATTCATGTCGATTTTGGTACCTAGGTGCTGTTAGTTTGGAGTGAGGGTAAGTTGTAATAGTAGTTGAAAGTTTGAACTTTCGATGTAATAATTTGTCGTTTGTTCATGCTGCTGTCGAAGATTACAATTCACTTTCCACTTGAATTGAAAGTTTAAATTTTCGATGGAATGATTTGTTGTTTGTTCATGCTGCTGTAGTGGATTATAATTAACTTTCCATTGAATTAAAAGTTTAAATTTTGTATACTTGTTGCAAATTGAGCTAATTTCTTGCTGAAACTGTCTAATCAAATATCTTGACTGACCCCTAGATGATTTCTTCTGGTCAGTACTCTGTATCAAGAATCTTAATTTCGTCATTGTTGAAGAATGTGTTATTGCTGGATGACTCCATTACATTCAGATGTGAGTTGTGGGATTCCTTATAACAGTCTTACTGTAATTTGAACTCAATCTTATCCAACTTATGATCTAGAAGCAGGAAAAGATCAATATTTTCTTTGACAAATAAGCATACAGAGGCATTAATATGCAGCCTGACTTATCTTCATGGAAAACTTTTACATCACTGAATCTCACATTTTTACTTTCCTCTTTTAAAGCTAACTTCCGCGATGACAACCTCCAAGAAAACCTATCAGAATTAGGGAAATAGGATTCTGAGAACAATCAGAATCAGGGGCCTGTTTATTGCACTCAACACTGATTTTCACAAGGTATAGATTCGACAAATCTTTTGGGTTTTTATATTTTGGGCTCACTTTTTTGTTCGTTTGTTTATCCTAACCAAATATGTTACTTAGCTGATAACAATCACGGCAGGAGGAGATAAGCTCATCCTAACTTTAGACAATTTTGTCGGGGAAGCTTTTGGTTTCATTCATGCTCGAATACAGATAATCTTTACCGTTGTGTCTATTAATTTCTATGCTATCTAACATCAAAATTGAATCATGCATTTTATTCATGCTAATGGATGCTGCTTTTGTTCTTGGAAACTAGACCTTTCACGACATGGGTTTTCTGTTGTACTTGAAAGCTCCGATGATGATTTGAGACTTTTGTTATCGTTCCAATATCTGAATGGCTCTACCTCATGTAGTCCCATTAAGTAGAGTTGAAGGGACAACTGAGGAGCTTGTGCTAATTGTTTTCTTTGCGTAATCGAGCTTGTCATTCATATCCAAAATGGGCTTTCTTGGGAGTCATCGACATGTTATCCCCAGAAATCTTTTCTCTTTTTGGACCTCTTTTTGAATATAAATAACTAACCAACTTATAAGAAGTTCATCCATGAAAGGGATATGCTATTAGGCATAGGCAAATGTTGTATGGCAGACAAAATCAAGAGGCGTTGAAGTTTGAATTCACGATACATTACGGGATTATTCCATTATACATTTGTTTTTATGAAGGTTTGCTTTTTCAAGGCCTTGCTTTAGTCAGGATGAGAGATTCTTACATACACCATACATGTTGTATAGTTGTTCAATGTCTTTGTGCCTGCAAATTAATCTGTGCCAATATAGATTTTTTTTTTTTTTTTTTGGATAGTAGCTAATCTAGAGAGCTAAATTTGGCTCCACTCTCCATGCCTATCCTTTTGTGATTAGGGCCATGGCCCATGGTTCCATGCTTCACTTTGTGGGCAAGAAAGCATCTTAGAAATATATATATATATATATATTAACTAAAAATAATATGTTTGGTTTTATGATTATTGAGGGTAAGTGTAATTGATTCGATGGAGTTAAATTTCATGGCGGATTTCAAATGAATGGATTTGAGTTACTTCAAGTTTGTAATGCTTTGAAATGTTAAAAGGTGTGTTGATTTGAACCTATTGTTGACTTCATAGATTTGATTTCCATTGTATTGTCCATCGAGATAAATAAAATTGAGCGAGTCATTTGAATTTATTTTAGGTCAGATCACATCGACCAAACAGACCCTCAAAGGGCTTGTATTGATCTGTTTGTGTAAATCAATCTTCGACCCTAGAGTTTGAAAGTCGAATTCTTGATATCTTCTTAATATGATCGATTCGATTATAGACACGAAACTGAGTATTTTCATGAGATGCTCTTTAACTAAAATAAAAATAAAAATACAGAAATGAAAAGGGTATCTGATTCTGAATAATGGATCAATGATTGAAGCAAAAAACTAATTACATTACATGTGTTTGTTTTTGTTGGTGCAAAATATGTAGTTGGTGACTTTGGTGTCATTGATTCCCTTGCAGCTAGCTGTACACAAAGATACCCACATTCATTGACATCTCAAAATTCACACATATGTGTGTGTGAAAAAGGGTTGCAGAAGAAAACAAACCAACTGTGGATTTGATCAAGATTGAGTGAGGTATGTATGTATATGTGTATTATGTGTTTTTGCATTAAACCTAATTATGCACTCCAAAGGCAGTGGAGTTAGTTGCTAATTATTTTTATATTAGACTTTAAATTATTGTTTGAGTCAACATCAAGCTAATGAACTGACAAAACCCAAAAATTTTATTTTATTTTATTTTTATTTTCTTGGTGTTTTTTTTTTAATAATATTTTAAATGTAATTGATTTATTAAAGAAACTAATGCATTTGTATGGAATGGCAAATACTGAATAGGATTGTGGATTCATGGCCCCAACCTAGATCACTCCCAATATAGGTGTATGTATATGTGTAATAATTTAGTATCTTTTTATTTTATTTTATATCTTTGGTGTATTTGGTGGTGGGTCAGATTTAGATCCCTTGAACCAAAAAAGCCTAATATGGAGGAGATCACCTATAATTAAATCTATTTATTTATTTATTAGTGTATTTTTTGGTGATTAGAAATGAATTGGGTGACCATGCAAGTACATATTATATATACATATAATTAAGCTTGAATTATTTAGATTAAGGATCAATACATTAAATAAGGTTTTAGATCACTGGATGCTTGAAATCCTCGACATTACTAATCAAATGTTAATTAATTGAATTTTAAATTTTGATCGTGATTAAGTTTGCTTTTTTTATATGATTTGTAAATATTTTTAAATCTTGGGTAGTAGTTGTGGCTTCTGATATTTTAAATAATACATATATCAAATAATGTCTTATTTCAAACAGTAAAGTTACATTTTAAATCACAATTTAAAACAATATTAATCAAACATATATATATATTTTTCAATCATATATATTGCATGATGTCACATAAGCATAAACTAAAAAAAAAAATATGTGAATAATTAAAAACCCTAATTTGAAAGAGGGGACCCTTCAAAGATTGGGAACCCCACACAAAGAGCTAGTGGCAATCATTGATGATATATGGGATTATTTTATTTTATTTTATTTTTGGGATTATTAAATAGAACAACCTTATTTTATATAAATTGTATATTTATTAAACAATATAATTTGTATTTAAACTCTTAAATGGTTATTTTAATAAGAGTACATAGGTGTGTGTAATATGCAATAAAATTATTGGTATATATATTAAGTGCTTTTCACTTTCTAAAATAAAGGGTTTTTGTCAATGCAATGCGGATCTTCATGCAATTTTTTTTAGTGCTATTATATAATTTCTTATTGTAAAAAAAAAAAAAGATGGGAATATTTTATAGTAAATTATTATTATTATTTTGAAAAATTCAAATAGAACAAAATGGAGTGTCTATTTAAAGAGGAATTAGGGACTAAGTGGGAAAGTGATGACAAATAGCACAAAGTAAAGGAGAGGATTAATAATATTTAATGTAAATGGCTATAATTAATTAATTAATTAATACATGCTTTGGTTTGTTCTTTGTCAATAGTCAATTAGAGTTGGCTAACAAATCATTTAATTTTATACAATAAAATAACATGTTAAAAGTGTATTTCACAATAGTCGGCAATTTATCTTTTTATTTAATTATCTTTTTACATTTTTTTTTTTTTCTAGAGATTCCAAAATTTGGGTATTATATATGTTTGGAAATATGTTCTGGTCTTTTGCACATAGAATCGTATACCTTGAACATCCTTTTTGAGTGAATTTCAAATAGATCCTAAAAGTTTGATATTATTACAAACTTCCCTCCTTCTGAATTGGAAAATTACAGTCATGATCCTTTTTAAAGATTTGTTCATGTATTAATTTCTATTATAATAATTATTATAATTTATATATATGTTAAAAATATATAACATCAATTTCATTTATAATATCAAAATAAAAAGTAGTAATGGCAAAAAGATACTCTCTCCGCCAAAATAATTAGTTATACTTTTTTTTATAATTAATAAAGAAATTGTAACTAATTTTGGGAGACGAATGTAGTATATCAAAATTATATATTTATCCGTTCAAATTTAAAGTATTTTTTTTATCATTTTCGTCTGTTCCACTCTAAAATACTTTTTTTTTTATTATTTTTAATAGAAATAATCATACATCAATACCAAAATATTCTTAATTTTTACTGTAAGTTATAAACATATCATTACATATACAATTATTTTTTTACATAAAGTCGAATGACAAAAATGTCAAATTTCTCATACATTTTCACTAATTAATAAAAAATTATTATTTTTTAATATATTACAAAACTTCAAATAATTTCAAAGAACTTTGGCCAGAGACGGAGGGAGTAATATATTGAATTCTTAAAATTATTTTAAGCATGATTTTTTTATTCGTAATTTATAATTGAAAATATAAAATTGTCAATGGCGTTGAATTGCTATTTTCATCAGCACGGAAATCGAATAGTAACATTAATAACGGTCAAAGTCAAAGGATCGATTAATGCATATACACATCATTAATTATTCCCGAGAATTACACTCCCTTTATTATCCTTTGTTTGTGTCCATGTATATATATATATATATATATCAACATAATTATAATATTTTATATCTCCTCTGTCATTTAAATCTATACTTGCTCTTTTTTTGAATTATCATTGAAAAATATTCTGGTTTATTTTTTAAATAAAAAATTATTATATTTTTGTATTTTTTTATTATAAAAAAAAATAATCATTATTATTTATTTTTATTAAAATTTATATCCAATCAAATGAGTATACATTTACGTGACGGATGAAGTATAAAAATAAATAAACAAATATTATCACATTAATAAAATATATATATATATTACCTTTTTCTTTTAGAAGATGGGAGTGTACAAAGATACAACAGACAGTCCCAAAGCTCGAGGAAGCTTATGATGCAATGAAAGTTCGGATGGCTCACAAGGGCATTCTTGTCATTTCAGCATTCTTGACGATAATACCATGCAATATAATGCATTGAAAGAGTTGGTGAGGATCAATAATTACAATCCAAATTTTACTGTCGAAATATTTTACAATTAATATTTTTGTAAATATATATATATATTATATAATTTTGGTTAGTTACAGAAATTTTCATTTTTGTATAATTTATTCCTTTTAAGGACGCAATCATATTTTCTTACAATAATTTTGGGAACTTATTTTTAATATTTAAGGTAAAATTATTTGTCCTTACTATTTTATTTATTAAAATTCGTATGGTTGTATATAGAGAGAGTGGATTAGGTGATAAGTGTTTGTTGATTAATTAACAATTGATTAATTTTACTAATTAATCTAACAATGATTATCAAGACAATGATATAATTTAAGCATAGTTATTTAATAACAAAAAAATATACTAAAATTTATCCTTATTCTATCATGAAATTATTTTTACTTAAATTTTAAATTATTCTAGTGCCACATTATACTTCGGGTTACATTTCATTAAATATATTGAATCATATTGTTAAATAGTATCGAATTTTTTTTTTACACCAACGATTATATATTTCCATCAAGGGGTAGAAAAAACACAATCTTGTAAAATCAAATTTTTATTATTATTATTTTTTTTTTGAATAAAATTTATAATGGGTTATAGAGAATGGAAGAAACATGAAAAGGGAAGTAGAAGAAATCAAAAGGGACCCAAAATCCTTTAGAAGTGCTCTAAAAAGTTGGTATATTATTGAACACACTTTTTATTTAATCTTGTTCAAGTTTTATTGCTCAATCCCCTTTTGGCTCTCAATGGTTCTTTCCCACTTTTTCTTCACTAAAGGACAATATACCAAAACATGCCTACCTCAAGTAATCATCATTTATTAATTATATATAAATAATTATACACTTAATTATCTTCTAATTAATTCATTTAAATTTGTTTAATACCTAACTAAACTTTTGTTATTTAATTGATTTATCTGGGGCATGGTATGGTTGCTAGATTACGACTCCATTATGTTTAAATTTAAATTATGGATGGGATAAAGATTGATGATTGGAAAATAAATAAATAATAAATAGATAAATAAAAGAAGTGATGATCACTTTAATAAAGTGTGGATTAATAATGCTTGAAAATATATATATATAGTAAATATTTTTACTTCAGGTACAATATTATTGTGTTATCGAATAAGCGTGTTATATAATCGTAAACTTGAATATTTTTTAGATGCAAATTCTTTTACTACACACTATTAACCCTTGTACACAATTTATATTATTTTATTTTTAAAAGCAATTGTTGTTTAACTTCAAATCTATTAGTAGTTGCTCCCAAAAATAAAAATATTATTGATTTTCTAAAGTAACATTTGCTATTTCTTTTAATCTACAATTATCTTGGAAAATAAATTAACAAGTCTGTTTTAAATAATGGAAGCTATAAAAAAGAAAGCAACAAATTAAAAATAACTCATAAATTAATTTATAAAATTAATCCAGTAAAAATTATGAATATAGTGAAGGTTTTTGGCTTTCTTCACCCAAACCTGTCAATACAATTTCTAATATATATACTTCATAAAATTCAAAATTATTAATATATTTATATATTTTATATTTTATATAAATAAATTTAAAACTAAAATACTAAACAAACATTTTGAATTTTTAGTATGTCGTAACTATCACACACAAAAAAAAGCATATTGAATTTGTTGAGTCTATTATAGGGTTTGTTTTGGTTGAATCAAAATAAATAATATTCAACTTATACGGTTTCATATAGAAATGTAATATTTCAATTTTATATAAAATATTTATACTAAAATAATGTTTAAAAAATAAGGAAAAAAACTCAAATTCAATTTTTTTTTTCAAAAAAAAAAAAACCCAAAATATATACGGTATTTTATTATTCTTGAGGGTTTTTTTTTTTTCCCTTCAAATTTTTATTAGTAAATTCTTTTAATCCTTTTGTAAATGTAAATTACTATAAAATACTTACATTATGTTAAATAAAAATGAAAACACGATAATAATATTCGTCCGATGAAATAATAATAAATTGGGGACATGAAAAATGGTTGAAATGAGGAATGATTGACTATTGTGAGTGAGTGAGTAGTGAATTAGTCAGTTGTGAATCCCAATGAAATGACATATTGACTGTCAACGCCACCCTCACGTGCGAACCCACCTCCCCCTTCATTTCTTCACTTCTTACTCCCTGGACTCACCGTCCCAAACCCTCGATTCCGCAATATCCACCGTTCAAATCAACTCTGGACCTCAACGCCTGGGACTTCGCAAAGTAACCCTACATGTTGTCCTATACCCCTCATTAATGCGCCTCGACACCTGTGCTTGCTGCTAAGTAATTAGTTCTCCAAATCTTCTCTAATTAATATCCACTGTACTATTGCTTTCACACCCCTTTTTTTTTTTAAATTAAAAGAATTAAATAATGAAATTATACTTAATTAAAAAAAAAAAAATTACCACTTTTAGAACTAAGTAACTGTGACGTGGCGGTGGTAAAATTTGGACACGTTGAAAAGTTAGTTACAATTGAAGAAAAATAAAATAATACTACTACTACTACTACAAAGTGTCTGTTACCATTAAATAATAATATAAAATAAATGTAATCTTATAAATCTTAATTGATCGATGATCGATTCCCCATTATATAAATCTTTATTATCCCCCTTTACTTCAGCCACCGCCACCTCCGCCGCCGCCGCCGTCGCGTCGACGTCGTGTCTCTGTAGTTGAAGTTACAGGCACTGCAAAAACCTGCAAAAAAAAAGAAAGGCTACTGTTCTTATTTCTGTGTCTTTCTTTGTCCCTTTGACCCTTTAATTTATTAGAAATTAAATTGTAGAGAGAGAGAGAGAGGAAGAGAGAGAAAGGGGCCGGGGGTGGGTATGTTGGAGACGGTGAAGTATTTGATGGGGACGGCGGGTCCGAGCGGGTTCGGGTCGAAATCGACGGCGGAGGAGGTGACGGGGGAGCTCCGCCGCGTGACGGCGATAATAACGGGTGCGACGTCGGGGATCGGGGCGGAGACGGCGCGCGTGCTGGCCAAGCGCGGCGCGCGGCTGGTGCTGCCGGCGCGTAGCTTAAAGGCGGCGGAGGAAACGCGCGGCCGGATCGTGGCGGAGTTTCCTGACTCGGAGGTCATCGTTATGGGACTCGACCTTAGCTCGCTCGACTCGGTCCGCCGGTTCGCCGCCGGTTTTTTGTCCCTTAATTTGCCGCTCAATATTCTCATGTACAGTAATTATTTCAATTTATTAATAATCTAAAATAAAAAACCATACATATATATATATTATTTATTTATTTTTTGTATTGTAGAAATAACGCGGGGAAATTCTCGTACGAGCATGCGGTGACGGAGGATGGAGTCGAGATGACATTTGCTACAAATTATTTAGGTAAAAATTATTATTATTATTCTTATTTTAAAAATAATTTTTTTAATATATGAAATTGAAAATTGGATTAGGGCATTTCTTATTGACAAAATTGCTGGTGAAGAAAATGGTGGAGACAGCAAAGGAGAGTGGTGTGCAGGGGAGAATAGTGAACGTGTCTTCCAGCATTCACAGCTGGTTTTCATCAGGGGACATGCTTTCTTACCTTTCCAAAATTACCCTCAACAAGAGGTCACACTCATATCTTATAAATTAATTTTAATTAATTATGGGGGGGTAATTGCAATTGTAATTGTAATTGTAAAATTGGTAATTTGGGGCAGTGAGTACGATGGGACACGTGCGTATGCTCTGTCGAAGTTGGCTAACGTTTTGCACACCAACGAACTTGCCCGAAGGCTCAAGGCATCTCTAATTACTCCTCTTGTCTTTTTTATTAATTAATTATTTGAAATTAATTGGATGATTCAATTTAAATTTAATTTGGTGTTATATATAAATTAATTTGATTGTTATTATTATTGGAGCAGGAAATGGAGGCAAATGTGACAGTGAACTGTGTTCATCCTGGGATTGTAAGAACGAGGCTTACTAGGGACCGTGAGGGACTAATTACAGGTACCTATTTAATTTAATTCGATATATAGTTGTGCATATTGCCTGTTATTTATTTATTTATTTATTTGTTTTGATTTTTCCATGCAGATTTAGTGTTCTTTTTGGCATCGAAACTCTTGAAAACCATACCTCAGGTAAAAGAAATTAACTGCCTTTTATTCTTAATTCCTTTTTTTTAAAAAAAAAAATTAATTTGAATCTTAGCATTATACTATTATTCATCACGCATTATTATTACATAAGATATGTATGCATACAAATTTAGATATTATTTCATGTGCCTATATGCATGGTTGGCCAATTTCTTAGGGTTTTCATAAATTGATAACCACCCCCCCTCCCACCCCCCAACCCCCACCCCACCTAACCTGTATGTATATATATTGTCCAAAATATTGCATGCATGTGTAGTCACACCAAACCAGATGTCTCACGAACACAGCAACGATAGGGACCAAAAACAGTCACAATCTTTTCTAAATATATATTTTTTAATAGTTTATTTCAACATAAATAAGCATTTGATTTGATATATTTTTTTTTAAAACAAAAAAAAAAAAAAACATACATATAATATATTAAATAAATAAAAAACAATACATGTATACAATCTTAGGGTTTTGAGAATGTTTGTTTGGTTGTTAATGTTTAGTCTTTAATCCAATCGTAAATTGAATATTAAAATTTTGAAATTAATCAAAAAGCTATTTGATGTAGTATTAAATAAAAAATAAATATATAACGAAATAATTTTAGTTCTCGTGTTTTTGTATAAAACTTTTTCTGAATTGTTGTCCTTAAAAAGATATATCGAATTTGCACATGATCAGGCGGCTGCGACGACATGTTATGTCGCCACCGACCCGAGGCTGGCCAATGTCTCCGGGAGATACTTTTCCGATTGCAACGAGGGATCAACATCGAAACTTGGATCGAGCTCGGCTGAAGCTCTAAGGCTTTGGACAGCTTCGGACATCATGGTCTCATCGGATTGTCATATTCGCGGCGGCGTATTGTCTGAACAGCTTTAGAGGAATCGAAAAATATATACATACGTATATAGGGATATATATATATATAGATAGATAAAAGGGTTTGAATTATTTAATATGAGAGTAGAGTTGTGAAAATTTTCCAATATATATATAGATATATGTGTATGTATTATACGTATGTAATTTACTGAGTCTTTGTATAATATACATACATCAACATGTGCTTAATTGTTAGTGTTATTTTTAAAATAGATATTTTAAATATATTTATATATATATATATATATATACACGTGATCGCGGATTTTGTACTGATCCGGTCAAGTCTGTATGGTGCTAATTTGACGAAATCAGCATATATCATATACATAATCAGCGTATATTTAGACACAGTACAACATATACTGAATTATAATACAACGTATATATGTGTGTAAAAATATATATATAAATATATGTTAATTATCTATATAACATATATTGATTCAGTCAAATCAGTATCATACAGTCAAATCAGTATCATACTTACTAGACCGAATCAACAGTTGGTCTATGCTTTATATATATATATATATTATAGGTGATTTCCTTAATAGGATTTGTTTACTTATGTTTTTAAATTACCTTTAACATTAATTATTTATCAATAATGATGTTTTTATAAATATAATTTTAATTTTTTTTAGTCAAAATATTACACATCAAAAGGCAATTTATATGAAACCATTACATTCAAATCTTTACATCACAAGAATAATACACATTTATATTTAATTTTTTTATTATTATTTTTAAAACTTTTCGATAATACTAGCAAAATCTATCTAACCACAAGGTTAGTATTTGTATAATAATATATGCATGTACAAGGACACTATTGACCGAAAAAAAAAAATTATTAAAATATTGTGTAACTGATCTGTAGAACCATATTATACAAAGATTGTTATAATAATTTAAATATATTTAATCATGTAAGAAATTTGTTGAATCACATTATTCAAAAGAATATATAAATCTGTATATGCATAAATCAAAATAAAAGGATTTTCTTTGTATGGTGGATGATTTTTTATTGTTTTATAAGATTTAATTTTTGTAATTAGATTTATATGCATAAAGAAATTAAAAATACAAACTCTAATAATTGCTAAGTCAATACACATAGGATATATTACAATAAAAATTATTACTATTATTAAGATTCTCTAGCTATTTTTTACTCATAAGATTTATTTTTACCCATAAGATTCTCTAGCTATTTATTTATTTTATTTATAATTCATTTTGAAATGAAAATAATTAGTTTGGGAGAATCACTAACATGGTGATTGTTGACCACCTTAGCATTGCATGTGGGATTTAATTCAATTTTTATGGCCCCACTAACATGCATTTTGATGTTCTATCAACATTTTCAATTTTTTTTTTTTTTTTTAAATATGAATATACATATAATTAGTTATGTAACAATATGATTAATATTTCAACCTTAAAACATCATAAATCAATATTTTCATTCATCCAATGTAGATATTTGAAATAAAAAAGATTTTTTTTTGTACTGTTAGAGAACATTGCAAGAACTGAGCCCACAATCTCAACTACACATTTCAATTTCAAGAAGATTTTTTTTTTGTTTTGTTTTCTTGTTTTTTTTTTTTCAAGATGTTTTTTTTGCCCCCAAGTGTTATGTTTCATGTCATATCATGTGTGTGAGATTGCACAATCAATAAACAAACTTTCCTCTTTTGAAATAATAATTCTATGGTAACATTCAAATATATGCTTACTTTTTTTTTGAATTGTCATCAAAAAAAATATTCTCATTTCTTTTTTAACTAAAAAATCATTGTATTTTGTATTTTTTTTACTATAAAAAAAATAACAATTAATATGTATTTTTATTAAAACTCGTGCCCAATTAAATGAGTATACATTTGCATGACATGACGGAGGGAGTAATAATAATAATAATAATAATAATAATAATAATACAAGGAAAAGGATGAATGGAAGATTGTAAAGTGAGTTATGGACCTAAAAAGGAGGCAACTTTTTTTCTTTTTTTTTTCTTTTTTTTTTTTTTGTGATCAAAATTCTTTTTATGTCTACAGAAAATGAAATTAAAAAGGATGAGTATGGGTTTATTGGCCGGACATCTATTATTACTTGTGGTTTAGATTTGATACTTTAAAAAAATAATTTTAAAAAAAAAAAACAAGAAAAAATAGTGAAATATTAATATATTTTTATGAAAAAAAAATCGTAAATGATGTATAATTAAAAAATTTAAATTACATAATAATAATAATAATAATAATAATAATAATATATTATTATTATTATTTACATTTAAGTTGTTTTGGGCTGCTAATAAGAGAATTGGGAACATAAGAACACATTATTCAATTTGGACATCTCTTCATATCTTGAACACATTCATTACTGGCCATATTTTGTCACTTCACTTTTGTTCCACCACCATTATCTGTTTCCCACCAATTTATGTTATATTTCACCAATGTATAGTTTAATTTATATAGTGTATAAAAATAATTGGCAAAGGATAAATGTGAAATGAAAATTATAAATAGAAAAAAATATATATATATTGACATTATAATAATGGATTATCCACCATTCAACGATATTACATTAATAAAAACTAATTAAGGATTCTATTATTAAATAATAACATGACCAATTTACGGAACAATAATATAAATCACATAAAATCAATTGTGATATATTCTATCTAGACTATTATCATTTATATAGAGTACTGATTTAAATTAAATAAAATAAAATAGCAAAATGTTAACAATACATTGTACACCTTTCGTCCCACCGGAATTGAACCCTTGATTAGGAACACAGTGTTTACGGTTACTTAAGAATGTTTAATTAGTTAATAATAATGAGTTGTGATATTATTATATTATTTATTTATGTAGTTAATAATATTTATAATTTTTTAAAATAAATTTAATATATATAATTAAAAAAATTAAAATATATGTTTAAATATTTATTAATTATATAAAAATTAAAAAATATATATACTCATTTTATAGGAAATAAAATTTTCTATAATACGAGTAAATAAAAAATACTTTTGTTTATTTATAATTAATTTTATGAGAGAAATAAAAATAAAGCATCTCATCAATACTTTACATCAAATATTATTTGAATTCAAATTTTTACGATCACAAGAATATGTTTGGATGCGGAATCGGTTACAAACTCCAACTACTCATCACTTTTTTCCCTTAAAAACATCGAATTCAACCCTTTTTTATTTTTCATACTAAATAAAAATTAAATTTTCAATTAAAAAATCACATCAAACACCACTTCAATTCAAATTTTACTATTCTGAACCCAAACCCACCTCCTAAAAGTTACCTACAACGTTTCATTTCTCTATCTTAGAGATGATCAAACACTAAACTTTTATGCACAACAAACAGATCAAAAAAAAACTATTGCCACAGCAAAGAAACAAATAATTTCAAGAATTAGAATCCATCGGATCATTACCAGCATTTTGTACAGCACCATCCCGACAAAGATTGCAGATATCGTAGTCGAGGCTAGGATCAATATGCAACGTCGAATCAATCCTATTCTCCAGCCACTTCAATCTCCTCTCCACACTCAGCACTGCTTGATGCATGATCCGGGCTTCCACCCGGGCAACCTTAGCACAAGATCGGAGCAAGATGTAGTAATCGGCGTGCACAGCATAGATATACATATGCCTCTTTCTCCTGGCGTAGTGGAGATAGTCACGCCTCTTTATCCGGGTTCTCGGTGAAATATAGCAGAACCTGTTTTCCTCCATGTCCAACATCATTTTCTTAATTGCTTCGTCCTTTGTAGTGTCGTCTGGAATTGGACTCCGACGTGCAGAATCATTGGAAGATCTCTTGTTAGATTCTGACAAGTTTGCTGGTTCTGTATCTACAGGCGTAGAGGGCTGAAATCGTATGGTAGGAAAAATGTAGGTTCAGATCATTTCAAAGCTCAAATTTTTAAGATTGATTCAGAGAATGGAATTCGTCACAAGACTTACCTTATGGCTCTGATAAAATTCCCAGAAGTCTGATATTAACTTTTCTTCCTCAAGATCCTCGTACGATGGTCGTAATCCAGCAAAGACTACATCCTTGCAGTACTGAAGGTACGAAGACAGATCGCGAGAATATGCTATGCAAGAGACAAAATAAATTCAAATTAGTTTCATTGCATATTCAAGAAAATTTAGGGTTTTTAATAAAACTGTAGGTTACTGTAAAATAAATGTTACCAGGTAAATCGTCTAGCTCGTTATATTTTTCTTCAAGAAGCTGCAGAAGCTCAGCAGTACTCAACCTACTGTCCTGAATATCCGATTCAATACCACAATGCTCTGGATTGTTGGAAGATGAATTTCTGTCCAAAGATGTGCCTTCTTCATTATTATCTGGAGATGGGGAACAGTTGGAACTGCACAAACTAGATTCCCAGATTCCATAACCGTTGATGTCAAAGAGAATTCTTATCGCCACGATCAGAACTGACATGACGAATGCACGAGTGGGGATCCTTTGCTCGTTAGCTGACAGGTATAACTCCGAAGGCATAGACCATTCACAAATTTTGCACGACACAGGCAAAATATCCTCAACAGGAAGTGATAAATCCCGGCAATAGCGCAATGCAATCGCATAGAAGTTCACAGGAGACAGCTCCAAACCAATTGTATTAGCGATGTTTGCAGCCATTGACTCCAGCTTCTGTAATGATGGGGTGTGGTTCGGTCTGAACATACGGCTGGTGTGGATTGGACATGCATTAGAGGGAGAGCCAAGCTGCGTCTCGATTTTGGAAAAAGCAGCAACATACGGAAGCTCTCCCCCGAGCGTCCATTTCAATATGTCGGATGGTAAAATCGCCTCCCTAGCAACATGACAAACCAGGTACGAAATCGCTAAAGAACAATGTAGTGGTATTGCATTTCTTAGAGAACGAAACCAAATATGTACTAAGCGCTTCCCAAAAATGTTAGTGGGTTCATCCTGAAATTTAGCACTAGGCTGAATTTCCTCTACTTCCCCTGGATAATAAGGCAGGATTATGATTAGCTAAAATGCATTTCACTAGCGTGTATTACAAAAGAGAGAATAAGGAAACCAAAACAAAAGCGAAAAAAAGTTACCCTATGCGATCCTTGCAAATAATCTACGAGGATCATTTCAAGATAAAAAGATCCAAGGTAAACTGATTTTTTTATCATGTAACTAGACCTCTTTATCATTTTAGCCACGTAACTGAAACATATCGCAAACTAATCCTGCAAGTAAAAGATTTTTGCACTTTTAGTCCTCTGGTACCGGAGATGCCTATGTGCACCCGCGTGGTTCGCCGGAGGACATGTGTCGTGAATTTTTTTTTTACAAAAAAATTATTTATTTATTGTCTTTTCTGTAAAAAAATTTTAAAAAAAAAATTCAAAAAGAATTTTGAAATTTTAAAATTTTTTTATAATTTTTTTTTTTAAATAATAAAAATTCACGTGTCCGCCAAGTGTTGCTAACCTGACGGACACATGTTCTTCGGCGAGCCACGCGAGTGCCACGTAAGCATCTCAGGAGCCAAAGAACTACAATTGCAAAAATTTTCATTTACGGAACTAGTTTGCAACATGTTCCAGTTACTAAACTAAAACGATAAAGTGTTTAGTTACGAGACTAAAAAATCAGTTTACCCAAAAATCTAAAATCACAAACATTGATTCCATATTACTATTTTGCTTGTATTAAAAACAAACAAATTACCCTTCCAAGTTTTGAAAAGCACAAATTGTTGCTTACTTAATGCCCACAAGAAAGAACATAAATCATATAGCCATTTGTTTAAAGTAAGGATAAAAGTATGAACCTTGAGTTTGGGACTCAGAATCATGAACAGCCTTGTCTGCCCAATCATCAGCCATAACCCGAGTGGATGCGAGAAACCTCAACCATAGAGGCCCAACAAGACCAATAATTAAAGGGCTTACGCTGAACTTTTCAACCAAAGCCCGGCATTGCAATTGAATCATAACTTGAAGCCCAGTCACATACCGTGACCTAATCTCCGAATAATACTCTTCATAGCTAAACTTTTTCCTAGAAAACCCAAAATCCCTAGGCCCATCTGCCATAGCATCCTCCATATCATCCCCATACTGAGATGTGTCGGGTTTTATTTGAGAAATTGGTTCAACAGCAAGAGCAACGGAAGGACGCACTCGGTTGCAACTGGCAGTGTAATGGCTGAAAAATTGCTCTTCATCGATTCCAGTATCAAAAATATCATCTGCTTGTGAGTTGCAATAACTACAATAGAAGAAGCCATCGTCTGCTTGGGTAAAGCCTGCATTACTACCACATACTTCGCAAATTCGCTCTACACTCCCCGCCATCACACCTATTCAAATATAGAGAAAATTTTAAAAATTTTGATGTATAAAGAAAGGGTAACCTTTGGGCGTAATCATTTGAAATTGAATTGAAAGACAAATGTTCCAAACAACCAACAACAACATACTCATACAAATAAAATTACCTAGTGCTCTTATCATTTTCAATACATTAAATTCAACAAATAGGCGAGCAGATTCAATTAACAATAGTATATATACTCTATATCTACTTCAACCAATCCTCCCACGCCTAAACTGCACATTGACAGCAATGTAAGCAAAGAAACTGAAATAGAAGTAAAAGGGAAAATTCAGTAGTGCATCGTTGGTGAGGATTCATAGTTGAGTTGAAGATAATGGCTATAAAATCTGGCAAACAACTAGCAACTACAAAATACAGACGATTCCAATGGAATGACTTCATTCACATTCAATAATGCCCATTAGCTTCACAATATCAAATTATCAATCCAAATGATATCACAGCAAAAGCCAAATGAAATTCCAATCTTGGATTAACCACAATTTACCTCCCAAAAATCAATTCCAAGTTCAATTTAAGCACAAAAGAAAATATACCGGGTTGAGGGGATGACCGGCGGTGGTTGGAGAAACCGGCGTCGGCGGTTTGGATTTTCTGGGCGAGGAGGCGGCTGGACGACGTTGACTGGAGAGGAAGAAAAGGCGACGGCGTGGCTCGGCGGTTGTGAAATAGAGGGGGGCGAGGGGGAGACGGAATGAAGGAGAAGCGGCTGGGGAAATCGGGAAGCGGAGTCTGGTGTAAAAGAATGCTGGAGGCTGAAGGAGTGGCTGGGTGGCGGCTATTGTTGATGGCGACGGGGAGTCGACGCCGGCGGTTGTAAGGAGAAGGGTGGAAGGCTGCGGCGGCGGCGGCGGCGGCGGCGGTGGTGGTGGTGGTGAGAAGAGAGAAGAGAGGAGAGACAGACGGTGTTGTTGGTGGGTAGGGTTTAATTTTTGTTATTATTATTATTTGGATATGATTTATTTAAACATTATGTATTTAGGGTGTGTTTCGTTGGGGTTTTGGATTTTAGATTGGGTTTTGAATCGTAAAAATTTTGAATTTGAATAACTGTGTGATGTGATATAAATAGGTATTGATGTGATATTTTGAATGTAAAATTAATTTTTAGTATAATATAAAAAATAAAAAATAAGAGTTTGATTCGATGTCTTGGGGAAAAAATTAGATAAATAGTTGGATTTAAATCCAATTCTCCAAACAAACACACTCTTGGATAATTAATGAATTTTATTTTTCCTCAATTGTATTTTAAAATATTAATTATTATATAAATTATAGTATAAATTAAAAAATTATAAAAACATTTTTATTTGTATTTTGCAATACTATTATAACTATATTTCCAAAATGTAAATAAAAGCCTAGCAGGACAGAGAGAGTACTCTATTATCATTCTATTATCTTCCTTAGAATTTTAGTTCATAGGTTTGATTGGGCTTTAATTACTTTATTGGGCCTTACTAAAATAATATCAGGCATATACTCCACTATATAGCCCAAGAGATTTTAAAGCCCACTAATTATTGTGTCCTATTTAATCTCATAGCAATTTAATAATAATAAATAAATAAATAAAAGTAGATAGTAAAATATAAAATATACATTAAAAAAATAACTCTATTATTTCATATTGTAATCAGTATACGAAAATATTTAAAATTCTGTTCTTAGTAGTAATCTTAATAAATTAAGCCAAATGCCCAACATAAAATTGGGCTGTAGAAATTATTTTTACCCTCAGTGTATATTATATAATAATTTTTAGAATTATATAAAATTTATTTTTATTTAGACTATCATTACATTATTCTATTAAATTTATATATTTAAAAAAAAAAAAAACAAACCTCACCTTGCAAATTCTGACAACAACGTATCAATGGAGAAATGAGACACGTTTTTTAAATTTCAGCGGCACAGATGTAAGGAATTTATTTTATTAGCAATTATTGATTTAAATCAATAACTTGTCTCCTATTTATCTACAGATTTGTTGGGCCACCACCCAAATAATTATGTCCCTACTAATCAAATTTAATTTAATTTAAAGTTTTGCGATAACATAAAAAATTATTAAATTATAATATAAGTATAATACTCGCTTTGATAAAAGAATTGGTAAAATAAGTAGAAAAAAATAATAACAAAATTATTATTATATGTTAAATTAAAAATAATAAAATTATAGGTATAATTATTTTAATATAAATAGAACATGTATAAATTTAATAAAAATAAAATAATTGACATAATTTTTATGGATATATATACACAAATTAAATAAAATTCGTATTTTATATTTATTAGATGCGAAAAAGTATATTAATTAAAATATCTTTACAGAGTACCATAAATAGATTGTAAAATAAAAAAATACTTTTTAAAATTATTCAAAAAAGTAATGGTATTTTAGTCTTTTATCTTCTATTTTATACTCACTTTCAATTAAATACTATTATTCTTTAATTGTCGTGTCCATTCTCAATAAGACATTTTTTTTGACAGAGGAAGTGGTATTTTATTTATATTTAAAACTATTATTTTTTATAAAATTGATCTAAATTAATCTTTATACTGTTAATTAATACTCCCTCCGTTGCAAACACCCTGCAATATTTTCTTTTTTGTTTGTCTCAAACTCACTGCAACATTTCCAAATTTAGAAATAATTAATAATATTTTTATACATATATTAATATACATTTCACTTTATCTCATCACATCACTCAAATAAAAAAACAAATAATCATTTCTCTATCCAATTACATCACTTAATATCCAAATTATCTCAAATTACCATACTTAATACTCCCCACTTAAATTTTCGTGCCAAACACAAATGTTGTACGGTATTTGGAACGAAGGGAGTAATATTTTTTTTTACAAAAATATTATATAAAACATTTGATTTTTTTTATCATTTAAAAAGTTGTCAAATTTTCAAAATTTCGGTCTAAACAGAGCTAATTTTTAATTTTTGTAAATAAAATTTTAAATTTAAATGTAATAATATATAATATTTTAATATGAGTTATTAGGTGGAACCCACAAAAGAAGATAGATGAGATGAGATAAAATAAAAAAAAATTACCAAGTCGCCCATGTTGTAATAATTAGATTAATTGACTGGAAATGTGGTTAAATTTTTATGAGCTAATAAATAAAATTAAATTATTGCAACCTGTATTTATATATATATATATATATATTAATAATAAAATAAATAAATATATGGACGTGGTTAGGTAATCCAATAGGGAGAGATTTGGGACCAATTTGGACCATGCATAATTGCACATTGCAAAATAATATTATTATTATGCTACAAAATCAAGTGGACATTCCTCTTTATAACACAATTTTTGATTGATTTTGATTTTAAAAAATACGTTTACTTATTTATAATTAACATAAAATAATTTTATAAAAAAATTGAAGTTTTAAAGATAGATAATAATATTTATTTTTATGAAAGAATATATTTGTTAAGTATGTTTTCATTTAGTAATTTTTACTAAAAATATAAATGTGTCAAGAATTATTATGAAACAGACAAAGAATATTGAGACAGATGAAGTATATTATTATCTCTCTATTACTTTACACATTTTTTCGAAAAATATTGTGTGATTTTTTTTTATATACTCTTTATGTTCCAGTACAGATGATATTTTTAAAAATATTTAAAATTCAAATAATAATTGAAATTGATATTTGAAACATAAATCAAACAAACTTTTAATATATATATATATAAATATATATTTTTAAAAAGACTTCAATTATTATTTCGTTTTTGGCCCATTCAAATTTTAAAAAATATATATATTGTTAATTTAAAATCATAATGAAAAATAAATGTGTAGATGATTGCATTCCAAGCCTATGGGAGCTGAATAAAAGGACGAAAACCACACTGTATATAAATACGCACGGTACTAATATCTGAATAATAATAATAATAATAATAATAATAATACTTTCTTTATTTTAAAAAATATGTTTAAATTTTGAAGCACATGTTTGAATATGAATATGAATATGAATTTTTAGTATATTTTATAGTAAAATAATAATAATAATAATAATAATAGTATTCCCTCCGTCTCATAACAAAGTATTCATTTTTCAATTTTAGCCCGTCCCACATCAAAGTATCAATTTCATTTTTTTTAGTAACTGTACTATCTACCTAACATTACAAATACCCTTACAACTTACAATATATTACACAAATGTCATTACCTTTATATTACATATACTAATAAGGTTATTTTAATCATTTCTATTTTATTCTTACTATATCTCAATATAATACTAATATTTTTAAAACTATGTGCAAAAAGCAACTTATGGGACGGAGGGAGTATAATTTTTTATTAAAGTAAAAATATTTTAAAAAGACAAAAATTATAAAATTTAAAATAGCATATTTTCTTAGGACATCTCCAATCCATAGTTGTTAATGGCGCTGGGTTGGCTTTTTTTGGCATGGGTTATTTTCAACCAACGCCAAATCCAACGCTAATTTTTTGCGTTGTTCTATTTTTTAAAAAAAATTTAATTTTTAAATTTAATTTTTATTTTTTAAAATTTTTAAAATTTTTATTTTAAATTATATAAATAAAAAGTTGTTCTAAATAATAAAAAAAATTAAATATTTAAAAAATAATAATAAAAAATAAAGTTATAATTGAAATAAAATTACTATAATAACTATATATTTATAGTTAAAATTGGATAAATAGATTGGAGTGGTCGGAGATGCAAGTGAAATACAAATAAAAACAATAATGTCCGCTAAAGGATCTGTCACTTGAATTGCAAATGCATGCACATGTCACGTGACCTCTCTGCCATTATTCTGTTACGTCCATCACTTTCTCCATCAATGCAATCAAAGCCTTTTTGTACATCATTTTATAAAAGAACTGTTTATGGAGTATAATAATGATTTGTTTGTTTAGTTTTTTTTATTTGAGTTTTCTTTTGTGTCAAAGTATAAAAAATTGTATTAATAATATAAAAAATAATATTGTATATTATTTTTTTTAATTTTGTAACTGTATTTATTTATTATTTTAATTTCGTAACTGAAAATTGCTTTAAAATAGTTTTATAAGTGAATTTTATTTTTTTTGTACATTTAGTTATCTGCCATCGAAGATGCCTACAGGCATGCCGGATTACATGTGTCTGCCGTCTCAGCACAACTTGGCATACTCGTGAATAAAAAAATTAAAAATTATATACGTGTCTACCAAGTGACATTGACATGGCGGGCACATGTTATCTGGCACTGGAAGACTAAATGTACAAAAAAATTTCACTTACAAGACTATTTCAAGACAATTTTCAGTTACGAAACAAAAATGATAAATGCGTCTAATTATGAAACTAAAAAGGCAATTTACACAAAAATAATATTTTATATTGAATTTTTATTTTTATAAAAAAATAAAATTATATTAAAAATTGTGTAAAAAAATTTTGTGCAAATAAACACTAAACTTAATAATCATTCCGGAATAAAGCACTCTAGAGGAGGGAGTACATATATCTATTTAAACTAAACATAAATTTTAAGGAAAAGTTGTTGGAATATATGGATATTGCAAGAATAAATGTGAAATTGAGTCGAGGATAAATTATCTTTCTGAAAATTAGATACGCATCGATAGTGTCTTCGGTGGTTGGCGTTCTAACCCAAAGATATAATAGTTTTCATCTCTAATGAGAGTGACACCTCTAATCGTTGGAGCTTCGGCGAACAAAAACGAGAGAGGAACTGAGTGGGGAGGTTATCGAAAAGTTAGAAGAGATGAGAAAAAAAGAAGATAATTGTTGATACTATTTAAAATATTCATTTTTTTACTTTTTTTATACTATTTTACTTTTACTATTTATATTTATATTTATACTTCTA